GTTCTGAAGGACAGTCCAGGAATGAGATCCATAGACGAGTTTTAATTATTACAGTTCAATATAGTTTATGTTTGGTTTTCAAGGAAATACTTCTGACATTACACAACTGATGGCATCTATCAGAATAATGCTGGGGGTGTAGACAAGGCTAAGAATTGTGTAATGGAACGGAAACTGTACATTGGGACTAAACTAAGAACTAAGCATGTGCAATGATGCAGGATTAAAAAAAATAAAAAGAAGAAAAACTGACATTTTAATATAAATAAAAATAATATTAACTTTCTCAACAGGGTTAAACATGCAAATAAAATGCGTATAGAAACAGAGTGAAGATTTTTTCCCATGCAGTTTAGTTGATAAGCATATCATGCAACAGGGTTAAGAGATTAACGCATGCGCTTAGAAGCTGTTGGACAACAATTGGCGGTACAAAAGCCTTATTGCTTCGAAAACGAGACTGGGCGTTTAACTTGACTATTTTTGCTGCTGTGTTTTTGTTTTCTGTTAAAAAATTAACTCCAAAATTTTTAATATTTTAAATTAATTTATTGTATTTTTATTATAATTTTTTATATTAAATTTATATTACAAATTATATATAATTTTCTCATAGCATTAATCCTTGCATTTAATTTAACGTTCCTCCCATGAAACCCAGTATATTTTTTTTAAATCAAAAGTAATAATTCGTGCCTGATGAGTTGTCAGAACAACGAAACTTCGAATGTAGGTATTTGTACTTCTTACCATTGTCTAACGACATTGAACTCTGTGTTGTTTACACTTTATATTAAACTGAGTAAATATTTATTCGCTTACCTGTGTATGCACGCTAACGCACGCATATACGGTTGCTAATATCTAGTTATTTGATTTATCAACATTAATATATATATATATATATATATATATATATATATATATATATATATATATATATATATATATATGTATATATATATATATCATGACGCATTTTTTTGGAAACGGCATTTCCGTCATTGATATTTTTAACACAACCTTGTAACTATTATGTTTTCCATTAATAATATGGATACGATTTTGACTTATTATCTTTGGCTTTTAGATATAGCAAGCTAAAGTAGATATTTTTTTACTTGTACATTTTCCTAAAGTAGCACACATATTGTTTGCACCTGAAAACCGTTTCGTTGTTTTCTTTTCCTTTCTTTACGTTTAAACAAAAAAACAAAAAAAAACATCGTCCAACAAAGTCCAAAACCAATTTCCAAGTCTCGTATACGCGGTAGTTGATAGCTATCTCGCGTGTACGTGAAGTCATTTCAGTTTTTATTTTGATATAGGCCTTCTACTTAAAAATAGGAGACATTTGAAAGAACACTGTGAATAAATTATGAAATTCTCTACTTTTAAATCCGGTCTAATTTAGACGACTAAAGAGGAAGAAGTTGGTTAAACATTTAGTAGCGTTGAGTATTCAAATGTACCTAATTTTCTCCTTATTAACTAAATCTTGCAATCCTGGTAAGCACTGCTTCCTCAGTAGTCTTAAAATCTCTATCCGGTTAAGCTGATGCATCTATTTTATAAAAACTCATATGATCTTTCCATCGTGATTCTTTGTTTAGTATTTTGATCTCATTCCAGAGAAAATTTTTTGCTTCTTTTTACCCTATTACATTGGTTTACCATTTCTAGTTTTATTGTTTCGCCTTCGATAATGACTTTTCGATATTCTTCAAGTCTGGTCTTTAGGCACTTGCTATTTATTTCCTTATAATGTCTAAATGTGAGCTCTTAAAGGTTTTTCTATATAAATTAATAGCAATTGCTACTTCACTTTACACTATTTCTGTTTATGAAAGGTTTCAGTAAAATATTCTATTTTCAGATAAAAGGATAAATCTATGTTGAAATATTTAATCCGGGTCTTATTATAATAGGAATGTACAATAGGTTACTATGGTAAGTTTTAAATATTATGAATAATGATGCGTTTGTTGCTGGTTAGGCCATTCGACAGTGTATATAATTGTTAAATTTCTTTTATGAAATCCTTTATATCTGAAAAGTCAAACTGTTTTAAAACAAGAAGAATCACGCGTCTTGATATCTTCTGCATTTAGAAACAAACGAACTGAATTGGTTTGATTTTCTAAATAAACCCTTCTGCATTTATTAGTTAATTGTTAAAGAAAAAACAACGCAAAATTAGGTTTCAAAATGTTTTGATTTCATTAATAGCATGTAATTTGTTATTTCTTGAATTAATGACAACAACATTTTCCTTTTATTTTCACATAGATTTTTAGTGACAACAAAAAGCAACTAAAATTTAAGAGTAAAGAAAATTACTAGTCAAAATTAATAATAGTTGACAATCCTTCACCTAAAATTAAAAGTAAAGATTTGATTTTTACTACTTTTGCTATTGACGTATAAATCATAACAAATATGGCGCCGAGTTGCTAGTAGGTTTAATTCGGTATCCTTGGCAAAAATCCGTGAATTCAAGGTTTATTAAGAATTTATCTTTTATTCTTGCCGGTCTGCGCTGTTTTTTTTTGTTTTTTTTTTTTGTTTCGCTAGAAACAAGTGGTTTCCAAACATTTTTGGTTGCTACAAAATATTTTTTTAAGATTATCGAAACTCAAGGTAAAAATTTCGTTATTTCATTAACTTAATTTTATCCGATAAACTAAATTTTATTTTAATAATCAATAAGTCTCTATATTTCTTGATCAAAAAAAAAAAAATGAAAGGTACAACTTCATGTAAATAGCATTGCCAGAAATGAGTAAGTGAGGATATTTGACATTGCGTCAGGCTAGATAGAGGTGGTTAGACACCTCTATCTACAAGTAGTAGACTTGAACAGACTAGAATATATGCCAGGAGTTTTTATACATTTATTGATAATTTATTTATTATTCACACTTATTTTCCTCTTCCAGATTCTCATAGACAATTTATATTTCAAAATCACTTTGTAGTAAGAAAGTATAGTATTTCTTATTTTAACACTTTGAGCCTTGCGTTCCTGACCAATTTTAAACCATTGTGCCTGAGCTCTTGAGTCAAAATTCACAAATAATTGATATTTATTGTTTCACGGTAGATATATAAATAGTTACAAGTGTTTACCCACCGTTCAACCGGTGGCTGGGCATTAAGTCATTTTTCTCTACCACCGTTCAACCAGTGGCTGGGCATTACGTCATTTTTCTCTACCACCGGTAAAGCCATGGTCAGGACTCAATGGGTTAACATTTTCTTCTTCTTCTTCTAATTATTATTATTATTATTATTATTATTATTATTATTATAAACGATTTCGCGACCCTCAGGATCACCTTTATGTGACCCTCATTTAAACCTCGATCAGTAATTTGCGAACCACTCCTGTTGGTTAACGTTTCAAGCAATACCGCCGCAAAAGTAACGAAAAAATGAAAACAAAAAAAGTTACTGATCAAAATTAATAAAAATTAATTATTGGTTTTGTTTGAAATTAAAACTTCGCACATTTCATCGAAGGACAAATGTGATAGAAATGATTATATTTATTGACGGGTCCATTTGTTTTTTTGTTTTTTTTTCTGAGTTGATTTTTAGGTAAAGAGAAAATTTATCTTAAATTGTTGCGAATTTAACTCTTTCCGTTATTCCAAGCATTTTCATGATTTTTGATGAATTTCTTTTACTTTTCATCGCAACGTTTTTAGTCGATTTTTTTTATAAATTCCCGGTGTTTCACTGAAGATTTTTCTATTTTAAGTCAAATAAAAGGAATGTAAAAGAATTTAACTTGGCCAAGTAATTATTTCTCGTGGTCAAAATTATGTGCCATCATTTTTTTAATTCAGTCGGATGAAGACCTTTCCAGAATGAATTTGCTTCCAAATCTTATCTGTTTTAAGGAAACTTAAATTCAATTTGTCAGTTATCTAATCTTTATAAGATATAATCTCTTAGGAATAGGCTCAGATCATATAGATTATCTGTTTTTTTGTGTTTTCATGGATAACCGAATGTAATAAAATTGCTAACGTATACAAGATATATTGTGAATACATGGATTGGTGCTGTCAAAATGTGACTTATCATTGGAACCAAATTAATCATTGTCATCCTTTTAAAATTCGTCGTCAGTGTCAAGAAAAACCTGTAAGATCTCGGCATCCATATGTCCCTGTTGTCCTAGCATCGACATTCGATCATATATCCATAGGCTAATTCAATACGTATACTTCTCAATGGCCAACTGAACATCTACTGAATAGATTCGTTTGCTCACAAACGCACATGTTCAGCCGGTTAAATTTGGCCGTTAGTCTGGAAAGGTTAATATTCATATTACATTTGTTTTGAAAGAGCGGCTTTTTAAGGCACGTTAAACATGTTGCACGTATTGTAAATTTAGTTTTAGTGCAGCTGGAGGGGTGGTCTGTAGACAGGGAACGCATTTTATTATATGTTATGGCCCAACGGTGAATGACATTGCAATTTTAGGTTTTATATATATATATATATATATATATATATATATATATATATATATATATATAGAATTCGCTTTTCTTTTTTAAAAGTTTGCTTTTAGTTCAAAATAAAATATTCAGACCTCCAGCGGGACTCGAACCGGTAGGAAATACACGACTTTCTCGATCAACGTATCAGGCTTTTTTTTCTATAATGAACTGTCTAGATGTTAATATTATTTGTTTACAAAACTTACCAGAAAATAAAAAAAAATTCAATTGTATTTTCTAGTATTAAAAAAGGGTTACTTTTGCATACATCTAATACATCGACACTCAAAAGCAAATAAGTTGTACGCATGCGCACACGGTGAGTTGAATATTTACGAAAAGCTTACAATAACCTAAATATTCTCAAATGGTGTTATTTAGTAGTAGCAGCAGTTGCCCTAAAAATGAAAGAAGCACACTTTAGTCTACTGTTTTTACACGACTATACCTAAGCGTAAAAGAATGCTGACAGTGTCATCCCACCTGTCGGTGCTGTAGTTTCTACTTCATAATCTGTTGTAGTGTCTGGAGGTTGAACAACCACCCCACATTTGGTTCTGCAAGCATCCATGGTGACAAAGTTGTTGGCGTTTCCGTTACACCCGCTGTAGCGAAACGCTACACAGTCGCCACGTTCTGTGTCGTAGCGATACCGTTGAATGTTCGACTGGCAAGTTCCGTACACCTCTTTCATATTACACACAGCTGAGAAGGAAGAATACAATGTCGAAGGATGAATTTTTTTTTTTTTTGACAAATATATCATTCAATTTTCAAATTAGTTCTGATTTTTGTGGACCAAATGCGAATTTTGGAGTATGAAGTCTATCAGATCGAACAAGAAGTATTTTGTCCTCCCAAAGTCTTTTAGCAAATCGCTGAACCTGATTGATTTAGAAAAACCTAATTTACAACGACCGATTTGAATTCAAATTTCAAACTTTTCATTTATCATTGGTCGAACAAACCTCCTTAACGCTGAATTGTTATTTTCTTATCTATCTATGGCTCTTCATGATCTATCTATCTATCTATCTATCTATCTATCTATCTATCTATCTATCTATCTATCTATCTATTTATTGATTTTGGAAATTAGATTCCTAATTGTACTTCATATATTTTTCTTTGAAATGTTGAGCAGTTTCTGCTATAATATTTCTACAGTAAGCGAAAATTATTATTATTATTAATATTATTATTATAATTTATAATAATAATAATAATAGTAGTAGTAGTAGTAGTAAAGATGACCATTGAAAAAGTCGTTGTAGAGGCACCTTGTTGAAATAAAAAGTAAATAGACTCAAAAAAAAAAAGTCTAGTAAAATCTACATTGTTGGATCCATAATCCGTGTCGTTGAAAATGCAGGACAAAAAAAAAGGCAAAACCTTTGTTCAAAACTCTATGCATCGACGATAAAACCCGTGATATATTCATGAATTTAATTACTCTTATCGTCTTCCATACTTCAATTTCGCATCTTGGTTCCTTTTTTAATACAGCAAATCACAACAATGTTGAATTCGTGGGCAAAAACACATCCAATTGAAAATCATCTTAAAATTCGAACCTTAATACGAATATGGAAAAATATCCCGCAATATGGCAGACTCAAATGACATGATATAATTCTGATTAAGCGGAGCTAAAATTGATACTTTTTGTTTCTTCGCTTCCTTTATTTCTTAAATATAGTAACAGTCAATCCTGTTTTGTTGTTGAAGATCATAAATAAACCAGAATGATTTCTTCAATTGTGTTTTTGTCGTCCGTGAATTTTTTGATAACGGGGTCACTTTTAGGTCATGGCACTTTGTGCATCGAGTCACAGCGATCCCGCAAATGCGGCACCAGAAACCAATCAGGAGCTGATCCCAGGCGCAAATACCAGGAGCTAATCACAGGCGCTGATCTCAGGTGCTGATATCAGGAGCTGATCTCAGGAGCTGATACCAGGAGTAGATCTTAGGCGCTGATACCAGGAACTGATACCAGGCGCTGATCTCAGGCGCTGATATCAGGAGCTGATCTCAGGCGCTGATACCAGGAGTAGATCTTTGGCGCTGATACCAGGAACTGATACCAGGCGCTGATCTCAGGCGCTGATACCAGGCGCTGATAGCTGGCGTTGATCTCAGGTGCATATACCAGGAGCTGATCACAGGCGCTGATACCAGGAGTTGATTTCAGGCGCTGATACCAGGAGTAGATCTTAAGCGCTGATACCAGGAGCTGATACCAGGTGCTGATCTCAGGTGCATATACCAGGAGCTGATAGGCGCTGATATCAGGAGCTGATCTCAGGCGCTGATACCAGGAGTAGATCTCAGGCGCTGATACCAGGAGTTGATTTCAGGCGCTGATACCAGGAGTAGATCTCAGGCGCTGATACCAGGAGTTGATTTCAGGCGCTGATACCAGGAGTAGATCTTAGGCGCTTATCTCAGGCGCTGATACCAGGCGCTGATCTCAGGTGCTGATACCAGGCGCTGATCTCAGGTGCATATACCGGGAGCTGATAGGCGCTGATATCAGGAGCTGATCTCAGGCGCTGATACCAGGAGTAGATCTCAGGCGATAATATCAGGAGTAGATCTTAGGCGCTGATACCAGGAGCTGATACCAGGCGCTGATCCCAGGCGCTGATCACAGGCGCTGATCACAGGTGTTGATCTTAGGCGCAACGCTACACCTACAATATTTCTAATTGCATAAGGCTTATATTTATTTACATTAAAGCCATAAAAATTGTGACTTAAAACACCAGAAGTACAATTTGAATTTAAATAAAGATAAAATAATTGCTTACTTCGGGAAATACTTTATTTTATTTTTTCAAATTAACTTGTAAACTTAATTGTTTCATTTCTACTTAAATGTCAGCCATTTTCAAAATACATTTTGTCAAAATATCCCACATATCGGTATTGAAATTGAAAGAAACAATGACATTATATATGTATCTTAATTCATATACAATTGTATATGAATTGTATATAAATATAAATCACACACACACACACACACCCACACACACACACACACACACACACACATACACAAACATATATATATTCAGTTGAAAGAAATTTGAAAACTTTACCTTCTTGACTACACACTGCCTCACAACTTTCTTTTGATGAAAACCTGTTACTGTTGCCATAGCAACCAGAGTAAGTAAAATTCTTGCACAATCCATCCTGTTTGTCGTAATGCCAACTTAACAATTCCTTACTACAAACTCCCGCCTGTAATTCCAGATGACAAATTTCAACTGCAAAGAAAGTAGTGCGTGTAATCCACAATGTCTGACGCTTGGAAACAGCCGACTAACTGCGCTCAGTGAAGCGGTGACAAGAAATCAAACGATGACAAAAATGTTTTTAAAAATATTCCATGCAACCTCTTCGAATACAATTTGGAGAAAAATTCTCTTTCAAGTTCAAGTCGTTAACAAACAAATTATGCTCCGCATTTCATGGGAAATTTTACAAATGATTTGGAAAATTTTACGATTTTGATTACTACAAATTGTACATAATTTGATTTTAGCATGAATATATTTTCATCCATTTTCTGAATTAGTTATTGGAAAATATTTCATTCACTAGAAGTAATTGTCCATTTACTAAACTAATTAAAATTAATCTTTTAACAACTTGACATTTATGGGTGAATATTTTCTTTTAAGTCATCAGATATTTACTAAGTATTTTGGATTTAGTAGCTAGGTATTAATTGAAAGAGATTTGCTATTAATTAACTTGGTATTTCATGGAGGATATTTTTACCGTGTGTTAACCTGATATTTAGTGGAAGACATTTTTCCTTTTATTAATCTGTTAAGTGGAGGATATTTTCTCTTTTATGAACCTGATATTTAGTGGAAGACATCTTTACCTTTTGTTAACTTTAACTACCGACTTGATGTGTGACATGTCACAGGCGGTGCACATATTGAACACTTAATGAAAACGGTCTCATAATAAACTTATGATGTTCAACACCTAAACTGTTCAATTTCGTTGAGCTAGACTTAGTAGTTTTCAAGATAATTGCTTTTAAAATGGTGCCAAATTTTGGGGGGACATCAGATATATATATATATATATATATATATATATATATATATATATATATATATATAGTGTACGGCTAAACCTATTTCTTTTGTCGATTCAATGTAAAACAAGTAAACCGAAGTATATTTGTCTACACCAATGATTCCCAACGTGGGGAACATGCTCCACCGATGGAGCATAGTAATATTTTGCTGACGCATGCGTACGATGTGCACCGATCGGTTTATTATATCAACAGAATAAGGGAGCGATTCGAGAATGAGTAATTAATATTGTATTGTTTTCTAGTGAGTTTGAGTGAAAGTGCTAATGTTAGTGCGTGTTATACAATGCATATACAGTATGCATACATAAAAATATTTTGTATATACGTACGTACATGTGTAATTGGCATACATGTAAGAATTAAATATTACATGGAGTGGGCAGCAGAATTTGAGAAATACCAAAGTGGGTAATGACCACCCCAATCGGTTGTGAATCACTGGTCCAGAACTAGACAAATATTTTCGTCAGCTTAATTTTTGCGTGACAAATTGTTTACAACGTCGACATACTATTCAATATGTCACCTTCATTTAAACATGTCTTATTCAGTCGGGTTTTCTAGTTCACTGGACACGTATCTATGGAGTAATATTTTATTAGAGCAGTCGCAAAATCATTTATAATTTATCGTAAATGTGGCTGACTCATGACTAATACCATATGTACACATTTAGTTTAATTAAATAATGTGAAGGTGCTAGTTTTAGAGAAATATCATGATGTCTCCTCACAGAGGAGGAATGACTGAATAGCGCTGTGTCGACTCTGATGCTCGCGTTAAAGAAATTCAGCCACGTCTAGACTAATGCCTCACGCCCATCTTTCGTTTCCTTAACTTGATACGATTCGGGCGAGTTGTAATCATTTTTTATTCTTTTGAAAGTTACTTTACGAAACGGTGGGCGTCAAAAAACAAACAAACGACACAAAAAGTCCAAAGACGTAATGTCGTATAAGAAAGAGCTAATCGTAAAAAAAATACCGAGAAAGCAACTTGTAGATAGAGAAAAACTGATTGAATTATAGTGTGACGACTCCGATGTATATATTAGCTGAATAAAAATGATTTATATTATTTTAGGCTCCTCCACATAAAAAAAAACAGGAAAAAACAATATGGCTTAAAATGAATTTTTAAAAAGAATCTTTCTTGACGATTTTATTTTATTTTTAATTTCAAGTTAATAGATTAAATTTAATATTTCCGATAAGCAAAATACTTTGCTGTATTTTAAAAACTAATTTAGATTGATTTGAGCTTTTGCTTTGTTTTTTGCTAAAATAGCTGATTAGCCTTTTTACTCGTCTTTCATTGCAACATAATTCTCTTTATTAAAAAAACCTTCCAAAAATAAAATATACTTTTCTGAAACTTTATTTGAGGAATATTAGCTGATTTAAAGTATAATTAATCTCATTTGAAACAAATATTATTTACTTTAAAATATTGAAGAAATTAATATTTTAAGCAAACTGTTGCTGTGTTTTTAACCAATATTGCTATATTTACGTGTTTGACAAGTGATGATGAAATGATGACAGGTTGAGTGTTGTTCTATACAGACTTTATCTGTTAAACATAATTTAAGAAAATGACGTGAGGGTCCTTTTTAGATAATTTTTAAGTACTGAGTAATCTTAAAAAATTTGAAAATTATCTTCAGTAATCTCATTTTAGGAATGTTGAAATATGAAATTTACCATAGCCATCGCTCTTATTTTTTGACAATGTTGTGTATGGTCGCCCATACTTTAAAAATTTAGTACGTTTATACACATAAAAAATCAAATTTCTTCTAAAAGTCTTGGTATTTGAAGATTGATATTAAGCTCTACCATTTTTAATTAGTAAATATAGTTTTCATTTAATAATAATATAGAATTTTAAAAGAATTTTAAAAGATTTAATACTTAATAAATTTTTCTAATTAAAATTTAAAAAAATAAAAACAATTCTTGTAAAAATTCTTTATTCACCGAAAAACCTTTCTTTTAGACTATAGTGTCCTTAATATATCGTATTTATAAAAGCAAATAAAAGCTTTTTTAATTAAATAATGTCATAGTTTTGTTGCATTTTTATTTTACGATTCAGAGCAGATTTTCGGTAAATAGTATTTCCGTTTGACAAAAACAAATTTAGGATTTTAATTCTCCAAGAAGTCTTGCTCTTAATTAATATAAATATTAAAAAGTTAATATTTCAATTTTTCGAAATATCCTAAAATTAAGTAATTGAGGAATAACAAATGTAAAAAAAAATATTTTTACCAAAATTTTCCAAAACCACTTCCAAAAATAATTTCTGAAAATCTCATTAAAATCCGATAATTATTTGTTTTTTTGCAAGAATTTCCAAGACAATGAGTTTTTATCGCAAAAATGATGCTAAAATCCCCCCCCAAAAAAAACAAAATCTTTTAAGCAACATTTTAAACGTGTTAGAAAGGATTAAAAAAATTTAATAAAATAATCAAAAAATACTTTGGTATTTCCTCTTAATCTCATAAACACTCTAACGATAAAATTTTGTTTTCATCAAATTTCGCTCCTTTTTTTTCATCTTGTTATACTTTTTTTTTAGTGAAAAAGTGGAGGTACCTATGTTATATTATTTATATCATATTTATATTAGATTAGACAAATAAAATTATGATAATGAAATGCAAAATCTTTAAAGATGAATCTTATTTTAATTGTTATGCTTGCCTAAGTATTTACGTATATCTAAAAAGGGTCTGAAATTATTTAAGTAAAAATATTGATATTTTCGCAGTAATTGTTGATATTCAAATAATATGCAAACGATATGCAAATACAAAGTAGCGATTATAATCAATAATTGAATCTTGGAATAAACCAATCAAATTTATGCGCGAAGAAAGCGTTCTTTTGAAAGAAAAATCTTATTTTACGAAACTGTTTTGAGTTCCGCAAAATATTGGACAGGCCACATGCTTTTGCCTATCCGAGGGAATCCTTAATGCATGCATTGTAAGGCTTTAGCATTTTATATTCGGAAAACAAATTTAACACGTTGGCTCCTAAAATTAAAAACAAAATGCTTCTATTTTCCAGAGTTTTATAAGTTATACAAAAATTAATTCTTTTAAGAAGAGAATCAGATGTTTATTTGACGTTAATTATGACTTTGATACTGACGAGATTATTTTATCATTTGACGACCCTCTCAAAGAAAATGCAAGGAACATTTTTAATACGATGTTCCTTCTGGGTGTACGTAATCTATAACTTATTTTTCTTTAGTATGTATAAAAGGCCATGACTTATTGGGAAAGATAATGGAGTCGTTCTTTGTTGCCGTCTCTACGGTTTTAAATTCAGTGTTGTCCTTCTAAAAAGCCAAGTTTACTCTGCTATTCGAACCATAATAGGAGGAGAAGAGATGATGTCTTTACCAAGGTAAATTTACCCGAAAGTGAACGCAATAGACAAGGCTGGGATTTGATCTCGGTTCGCTGATTCCACGTCGTTATGCTAGTCTCGCAACGCGGGAGATTTATTAGAAGAATAATATGGCTGGTAGGCAAATACGATTCACCTGTGGGTCGTGTGGGATATACTAAAAGTTTAATGCCACTCAAGGGCTTGCGAAGAAATAGTCTCGTAGGCAAATACGTTTCCCCTGTGAGTCGTATGATATATATATATATATATATATATATATATATATATATATATATATATATATATATATATATATATATATATATATATATATATATAATATATATACTACCAATACTCCGCGGTCGAGTTAAATAACTTTGAACTTTGTTTTCCAAATATTAAGAAGTCAAAAAGGGAAAAGTAACAACAAATAAGCATGCTTCAGGTTATGAAAGAGCTGGAATAAACGAACGATAGGTCAGCACTTACGCGGGTCCCTGGAAAATGGAGGTTCTGTCGGAGCTAACGTGACAGTTTCGGGTGGATCATGAAGAAAGCAACGTTGCACGCATGAAGACTCTGATTCAAAGTTGTTTTCATTACCGTCACAGCCACTGTACCAGAACACCTGGCAGCTGCGAGAAAACTCTTCGTAGTACCAACGTTTAACAGGGTTACTGGAGCTACATGTTCCTTCGTCGTACGGCAGTCGACAGGGATCTAGAGGGCTCGCGGTAGTCGCTTGTAATAGCCGAGAAGAAAAATTTTGAATGATTCATGTGACAAATGACCAACAGAATTATAACAGAAAAAAAAAATACCATCGCGCGTCTTAGAAGCAACAATAGCAGCAGAAGCAGTTTGATACTAACAAAACGTTTTGATTTATTATTTTAATGACAATCTATAATAGTTCATATATCTAGATCAGTGCTTCTTAACCGGCGTGCCGCAAGATCTCTTAAGTGTACCGCGAAAGTATGATTAGATTCGAAACCCCTTCATAGATTTTCTTTCTAAAATTGGACTTCAGCTATGTGACGAAGAAGAAGAATTAGCCACCATTTCTAATGATCAAAATAAAAAATTGGACGGTACCGATTGTTACATTTTAGATTTCAATACAAAAGGAATGTCTCACATTATCTAAAAGGGCTTTATTAGTTTTAATGCAATTTTCTGCTTCTTATTTATTTGAATTAGGCTTCTCAACCGTAAATAACATCAAAAATAAGAAACGAAACTTCGTTCAATTGAAAAGAAATGAGGGTCTTCGTTCAACATTTTGATTTCAAGGAATGTCTCAATTATCTAAAAAGGGCTTTATTAGTTTTAATGCAATTTTTCTGCTTCTTATTTATTTGAATTAGGCTTTCAACCGTTTCAAAAAATAAGAAAACAAAAGAATATCTCATCACCCATTGATACATTTTGGATTTCAATAAAAAGGAATGTCTTTATCAAAAAAGTTTTCAGTTTTATTGCAATTTTCTACTTCTTATTTATCTGAATTATGCTTCTCTACCCGAAATAACATCAAAAATAAGAAGCGAGAAAAACTATGCTTAACTGAAAAAATGAGGTTTCCACTGGTAGGGATAATTCCAAGGAAGATATTAATCCAAAGACAGCTCAACGTAAAATACAGAGCATTATAATAATAATAATAAATCAAGAAAAAAACCTTATACATCTATTTCGGTTGTAATTTATTTCGTGAATATTGTTATATTAATCTCTTAAGAACTTTAGGTCCGAAGAGATGACTATAACAATATTCATAAAATAAAATTATAACCAAAATGGATCTTTAAAAAATTTTTTTATGATTTATTATATATATATATATATATATATATATATATATATATATATATATTATAGTTTAAAAAACTAGGTAATCCTATGGGTAAACCTAAGGAGGATAAAATCCAGAGAGCTCAATGTAAATTCAGAGCAAATAATTTAAATAAAAAACAGACCACTTTAAGGTTCCATGTAATAAATTATTTCACCACAGCCCTTTTTAAAAAGGACTGCGGATCATCAGATTTTACTTCCAAACAAGTAAAATCTGATGATTTGCAGTCCTTTTAAAAGGGCTGTGGTGAAATAATTTATTACATGGAACCTTAAAGTGGTCTGTTTTTATTTAAATTTAAATTATATATATAATGAAAATGGACTGTCCAACAATTATTTTAATATATTTTCTGTTTATAAGTTATTTTTATGGATACAAATATTTAAGTAAATGCTCTGTTTATAATAAATTATAATAAATAGTATTAATTACATTTACCAGACATTAATTATCGGATATTCTGGCTGGTAAATGATGTTTAATACTGCTTATTATAAACAGAGCATTTACTTATTTACTTATAGAGTGGAATAATACATACATACATATATATATATATATATATATATATATATATATATATATATATATATATATATATATATATTTATACACGTTTCATTAAATAATATAGACAAGTGTTGTCTATTTATTTTATGTAAAATTTTTTCGTATCTTCTGATAAGTTTGATAACATTATCATTAACCGAAAAAAGAAATTCACAATATTTATCCATTACTTTTTTAATATAATCTAAGCTTTCGGCTTACTCAAGCCATTATCAAAGATGTAATTACAAACATATCAAACAATATACGGACACGACAGTGATGATAGTCTGTCATTGTTTAGTTTACATAGTGGATCACTAAGCAACGATGAACACGCGCATATAAGACGCTAGAAGCGAAAATCGCACCGCATCTCATGACGTCACACATGACTACACGAGAGTGAATTGGAGAATGAAATAAGGAAAGCCGTTGGTATAAACCAATGGCTTCTGTTACCAATTATAGAAATTATAGACATTTAAGAATATTTGTAGAGATTCCAGTTGATTTTGTTTAGGTTGGGTTTTAACTGTTTGATGTATAATGCTTCAAGTTTTTGTCTATTGTTTTCATGTCGAAGTATAGTTGTGTTTTCGACAAGTATTTTACGGAATTGTGTGTGCGGGCAGGCATGTTGTTTTAAATGCCTAAATATATATATATATATTAGAATTAATGTGAATAGATCTTTTGCAAGAAATTCAGGGAAAGAATCGACGTCTGGAATGTGAAAGGCTGACTTTTCCTGATCTTGATAATTACGAAGTGCAGCTAAATGAATGACAAAGACAAATTGGAGGAAAAAGCAATTTGAAGATTGCTTAACATCTGGTCCTCTTTTTTACCTTATAAATAATGATGGTTGGTGACGTAGATTCCGAAAACTAAGATTCGATTTTGAGGAAGTGGTGCAAGAAGACTGTTCTGTAGCAATTCCTCCAAGTAGAAATGGTAATTTTTCTCTAACTTAAAAATGAATATCTACATCGTCTCTCTTTTACCTTTTCTTAGACTTTTGCTTCAGTGAGAATTATACGAATGCTTCGGCTGCTAATCATGTCCTTCACCTAATTTATTAGTTGTAGGCTGTAGTTGCTAACGAAAACGTTTTTAATGAGGTACCTGTCGCTTCGCTGACGGCGGCTGCGATCAAATTGTTTTCCATTTAAAATCCTACATTTACTAAAAATATATTCAGTTTAAATGCAGAAGGAGTCATAGGAAATTACTTCAAAAATCCGGCTTATACTCTTTTCCTGTTACCCAAGGATTGTTGCCAGGCAGATAGGTAAATGAACTTTCGCGATACAGATATCCATTTCAGTTTCACTCAATTTGTTTATGCGCATGCGCGTATTTATTTTAATCCAATGACAGACCTTAAAATATTGGAAAAAGAACAAAATTAAAAATAATTCTATCTTTTACTGAATAATTTCAAATAAATCAACAGAATCTTTTAATTACCTGAGCGTTAAAAAATAATTTTTTTTCTCACCAACGTTAAGATTTATTACTCAGCCCAGAGTAAGTGTTGCCGAGACTGAATGGGAGGGAAATGTATTATTCCAATACTTTCTTTGAAACTCAGTCATATTGTGTGTGTGTGTATGTATGTGTGTGTGTACCTGTGTGTACATTATGTGACACAAGCACCTGTAAATCATTAGCGCACAACAATGACATACACATATACATTGCATATTCACATGCAAAGTCATACGCAGACAGTGTGAGACGGATGGACAATCAGCTCATCTTTTATGATAGAGATTCAGGCTTTCGTTTTCTTGTTTTTGTTTTTTTTTGTTTTTGTTGTTTTTTTTTTTTTTTTTTAAGTTACTCCACGCCTAATATACATATTATTTCACGGATTATTTCTTTTGATATTCGTTTTTGTGGAAGTTTAATTTAATCAAAATTTTGCCGTAATGGAGCATCCACTGAATCTATAGTATACGTTTGTAATAACAATCGGAGTCGTATTAATGCCACTTTTACTGTCAGTGTTACAATTTGATTTTGCGCATGCGTGCGTGAAGTTTTGCTAATCGTCTCTGTTGAAAAGGAAGGAATAAAAAACAAAATACGTTCTATATAAGGCCGGAGAGTGAATATTTATGGTAAATTTTTTATATTGCATTAATATTCTAATTAGAAAAAGACATTCTGGATTCTAGTTCTTCCTAGTGATTTGCTTTGCCAAATGATCACTGTAGGATTTAGTTTTCCCGTCTAACTTCCATAGAATTATTTTAGAGTAAAATATTTTATGAATAGTGTTTTTTATTCAATATTCACTCTTGTCTAACTGTATCTAATTCAATGAAGGCGCGGTAGCAGATTTAAGAAAGCGGTCCTTTCAAAAACGCGGTCCCTGGAAACAAGTTTGGAGAAAGCAAAATGGCCGATTGAAAATCATCGCCCGTAAATGAGCGGTTAATAGTATTCAGCCAGGTTTATATTAAGTTTTCTGATTTCTCCAGCACTTAATTCGGATCAGGCTTGAAAGTCTCTTCTGAAATAGATCACGCGAAAACTAGACGAAAAAGATCATCATTTATGCAAAGTATTTGTAAAATGAATTTTAATAAGAACGGCCAACCTAACGTCTTTAAACCATTTTATTTATAACCATAAGGAGAGAAAAATGTCGCGTTTACAAAAATAGTTGGAGTTGATTTCAAGTAATTATATACAATAATTTTTTAAAATATTTCAAAAAAAGTGAAAAAATAAGTAATTTTAGGGCTGAATAATAAAAAAAGATTATTAAGATTTAAAACTGTAAATTCTTCTTTTTTGATATTTTAATTTGATATTTATCGAGTTTACAATTAAAGTCACTGATCGCAAAAACCGGTTCACAAGATTGAATTTATAACATTTTCTTTAAAAGAATCAAGACATTTATATCATGTTATGATATTTAGACGTGTTTGCTTGTATTAAATGATATCGTTTAATATTAAATCTTTCTCGGTTGATTTTTTTTAATAAATATTGTCCACTAAAACATCGACTGAATAATACTGTGATCGACTGATGATCGCTTGAGGCGTGAAACTCTCAGTAACCATGCAGTTGATTTCTACACACTGTTTACATCTATATAGGTTGTATCCCCGATATTTTAAACACTACACACACACACACACACACACACACACACACACACACACACACACACATATATATATTCAAGTATCTTTCATTGAATAATACAGACATATTATATGTCTATATATATATATATATATATATATATATATGTGTGTGTGTGTGTGTGTGTGTGTGTGTATATATATATATATATATATATATATATATAAAAGTGATACATTTTTATTTAAAATTCCAAAAGTTTTTATTATTTAAAATTTACTTCACTAAAAATAATGTTTAAGTAATAATAATATATATATATGCGTGTGTGTGTGCGTTGATGGTAGTTGATTGGATGGAACTATAGTGAATCTCGTTATAAAAGTGCTCATTATTTACATTATTCGGATTATTGTCCTCATCTTTGTCGCCATATTTATTACAACGTTTCGTCCGTTGTAGCTCCGGTCTTCTTCAGGTGGTTCAGTTCGTCAACCAACCACCTGAAGAAGACCGGAGCGTACAACGGCCGAAACGTTGTAATAAATATGGCGACAAAGATGAGGACAATAGTCCGAATAATGTAAATAATGTACATAATACCTCATCTCATGAATATAGACAGATACAAAAAGTGCTCAATACGTAGCAATGCTTAGAAAATTGCAATAAAAGCAAGCAGAGAATAAAAAGTAAAACCGAATTTACTTTAATTTCACCAGCGAAACGAAGGTTTATGAATGATTATTGCTATGATACTCAAGGCCTATTTGAATACCAGGTAGTTTTGCAAATCTTCATTCAAAATCATTTTCGACACGATAAAGCATGCGTATCAGGCAGAACTTCATGTAAAACAAATGAGAATGCTTAGATGTCAATCTGATTACAATTAATAAAGATGTAAAGAGGCAGATAAAGATAATCTGGTTTACAATCCCCTCACTAAATGTTAATCTGCAATTAATAATCAAAATCGGTAAAAAATTCTTGACCATATTGTGCAAGCACTTTCCAGTGAGCTATACGCTCCAGAAAATCAGTACTATAAAAAACAATTATAGTACCATGTCCAACATGGAGAAGATTATTAAGGGACATAATCAGTAAATGTTGAGGGGGTCACGCCTAGTATAAATATGTGCAATTGTCGTAAAGTGAAGGCTGTTCCTTAAACAGCAAGTGTCTGACTGAAAATGTTGTTTATTGTTTATCGATTCAAAGTAGAAGGCCTCCTTATGATGACTTAGATTAGACGCACTGGGAACACGTTCAAAACGAGGTCACTATAGTCATATAACATCTTTCAGTTTAAAAAAATATTACGAAAATATCGCTGTTGAAATATGTTTGGAAAATAGAAGATGGAATAGGCTTTCAGGCAAATATAACATAGAATATAGCAAAAAAAAAATGAGATATATGGAAGCTAGTAAATTCTAGAAATTGTGCCAAGATGGTAATCCTGATGTTCGCAGATCAGAGTTCTTTATTTAAAAAAAAAAAGAGGGTCGAGATTATGACGAGGTGTCTACACACTAAAGACTTTCTAATTTCTAATATAGAACCCGGATGAGATCCACTTCCGGTGAGGAAAGGAAAAACAAAATTATTACCTTCCCATATTTAAGGCCAATATCACAAACTCAAGTAGGAATGAAATTTAAACTTGACCTGACGATTTGGATCAAATTTGAACCTGACCTGATAATATGAATCGATTTGAACCTGGTCTACCGATTTGAATCGATTTGAAGCTGGCCTGACGATTCTTTGTATCGAGGGCGAAACTTAAGTAGCTTCTGTTCTACGTTTTTATTCTGTACTTTTACTGTATTGCAATTATAAATTTAACATGAATATAGCATTAAAAACTATGAGTATATATATATATATATATATGTGTGTGTGTGTGTGTGTGTTTGTATATGCATTTCTGAAGAAGTGGTGAATTCTTATCTTTCGATATATTTTATTACTTAATCACTGCTTTAGAAATTAATTTGTTTATTTTAAGAAACAAAACCGGGAAGATATGTATATTTCGAGAGCCTAGTAAAAAAAAACTGTGTTTAAAGGCACTATTCAACACTCCTTTAACACTCTGCAACGCTTCATGGTCGAGATTTTTAAAGTACTTAGGTTCTAATGATTTTTCCTTGCTCTAGTAGGTGCAGGTTCGAATCCGGCTGTAGAGGGCATTTTTTTTCTTTAATAATATTTTTCAAATATTCAGGCAGGTAAACGAAAATAAGTAAATATACCGTTTAATAAATAAAAAAGTACCTATTCAAATATTTAAGTAATATATATATATATATATATATATATATATATATATATATATATATATATATATAATTATTTATTCGAAAATTATAACATAAATATGTTATAAAAATCACTACAAAAATAGCCATCTGGTGTCTTATCAAGTGATGATGTTGAACATATTTATATTATAATTTTTGAATAAATAATTATATTTGCTCTACTCTATATTGAGCACTCTTTTAAGAATAGTATTTGTTGGTTATTGGAATTTATTCCGTATACACCAATCCTATACTTGGATATATATATATATATATATATATATATATATATCTTTAGCTAAAATTAAAATTCATTTAAATAAGTGATGATATATAAAAAGCCGTGTGACCATAGTTGATGTAGCATCAGAGTATTTATTATTATTATTATTATTATTATTATTATTATTATTATATTTCAATTTCTGCTATGCCCTCACTACCTTGCAAGTCTGTGGCAAGACCTAAGGCAGGTGTGTTGCTATGGTTAAATTTCATGATTTGTTTTTCTAACTCCCCATCACTAGAGTTACATCTACAAAGTTCTTCGGAGTGTGTGGGTTGTACTTATCAAGACAATTTTTTGCATTTTTCGTACGCTGGTATCTCCAGGGATTTTTCAATGTGTTGTGTTCCTTTTTTATCATTCCTAGCGCACCTATTGTGACTGGTATTATTATTATTATTATCATCATTAGTTGTAGCATTCGTTAACTGAGTGTTCATACTTGTAGTAACTGATGAATTTCTCCTCAATATTACAGCACATTCTTCAGTATTCTAGCTGTTCTAAACAATGCCATCTTCTGGATGATTCTAACTCTACCCCTAATTCTTAGTTCTTCGAGTCTTTTCCGTAGGCTCTTCAGAACCAGTCCCAGTACTTTGATAAGGACTCATATAACTGTCACCTTTATGCTCCAAAACATCTTAAGCTCTCTGTCAAATTTAAGATATTTATCTCTCTCTCCGATTTCAGGTCTGTGGTGTGCCGAAACAACAAAATCAACAATCTAACATGTCTTTTTGTTTACTATTATTAATATTATCGAAACATTATTAAAACATTCTTACAGGTCATTTTGAACTATGCTTCTTTGTATTACAAAATTGTATAACAACAATATCTAAAAACGAATCAAGAAAGATTGAAAAGGAAAAGAGAATCTAAAACTATAAAAGTTTCTACGGGGCCTCATTGATTAAAATGTTGGTAGATTTTTTACCCCCTTTTTATGTACATATTTCTTGCAAAACTCAACTGTCAACTCAGTGACGCCTTCTTTGCCTCCTCCTGACTGAAACTCGAGACTTACGTGAGGGTCGACGTCGCCGACAATTCCGGGTGCATTCGTTCTCGTTGTCGAATCGATTATTGTTACCACCACAGCCGCCATACCAGAACTGTTCACATCTTGAACTTGTTACATTAAAGAACCATCTTGTAACATATTCAAAACAAGTACCAGGATCCATTTCCGATTCACAATCGACTACAAGAGAAAAAGAAAAACCTTGGATAATGACGAGACACTCACTGTTTCATGAATCAATAGCAAGAAAAAAAGAAGTCCGACAAATGCCGAAGTGTAAACAGCCGAAACATCGTGAATATGGCAATAAAGATGAGGAAAGCTGTCCAAACAATGTAAATAACGTAAATATTTACATTACCTTATCTCAAAAATATAGACAGATCCTGAAGAAGGGCGGAGTGTACACAACCGAAACGTCGTGAATATAGCAATAGAGATGAGGAAAACTGCCTGGACGATGTAAATAGTGCAAGTAGTTACAATACCTTATCTAAGAAATGTAGACAGCTCCTAAAGAAGGCCGAAGTGTAAACGGCCAAAACGTCGTGGATATGTCAATAAAAACGAGGAAAACTGTCCAAACGATGTAAACAGTGTAAAAAGTTACAATACATCGACCGATGCCGAAGAAGGCCGAAGTGTAAACGGCCGAAACGTCATGAATATGGCAATAAAAATGAGGAAAGCTGCCCAAACAATGTAAATAACGTAAATTACCTCATCTCAGAAATATAGACAGATCCTGAAGAAGGGCGGAGTGTACACAACCGAAACGTCGTGAATATTGCAATAGAGATGAGGAAAACTGTCCAAACGATGTAAATAGTGTAAATAGTTACAATAACACGTCTCAGAAATATAGACACATGTAAAATAAAATATATTATTGCTTTTATTTGAAGGAATATATGATTTCATTTTAAAAGAAAATAAGACAAAAGTTTTTTTAAATAATTTCGAAGGGTATTAAAGATTCAGGTTAAGCCGAACAGTTTTACTGATGGAAGATAAAATGAATAAAGAATTACCTTGGCTGCTTGGTGTAGGTATTACGCATCCAGCATAATCTGGTCCCCTTGCTGCATTTATACGGTCAGGACAACAGCCAAACCGCGACGCTTTACAACCACATCCAGCTTCATTAGGTCCATCAGCTGGAGTAATTCCATCAGGGCAACACCCATATCGAGTTTCGCCGCACCCAACAGATGGGCATCCAGCATAAGAAGGACCTCTAGCGGCAGTCACCTTGTCTGGACAGCAACCATAAGTCGATGCTTCACAGCCCAATTCAATTTCACAACCAGCGAAGTTTTCTCCCAGGGAGAACGAAACTCCATCAGGACAGCATCCATATCTTGAGTAACTACAATCTCTCCTTTGGCAGCCTTCGTGTCTGTATCCACGGGCGAATGTTCTGCCATCTGGGCAACATCCATAATCAGATAAAGCACACTGAGTCTCCGGACACCCATATCTGTCAGGGCCTTCAGCTGCCGTTCTTCCGTCTTCACAGCATCCAAATCTTGTCGAAGCACATATGACGCGTCTTTCCGGGCAGCCATCAAAGTTTCTCCCTCGTGCAAATGTTACGCCATCTGCACAACATCCGTATTCAGAATTTATACATAGAGTTTCTGGGCATCCATATCTGTCAGGGCCTTCAGCTGCCGTTCTTCCGTCTTCACAGCATCCAAATCTTGTCGAAGCACATCTGACGCGTCTTTCCGGGCAGCCATCAAAGTTTCTCCCTCGTGCAAATGTTACGCCATCTGCACAACATCCGTATTCAGAATTTATACATAGAGTTTCTGGGCATCCATATCTGTCAGGGCCTTCAGCTGCCGTTCTTCCGTCTCCACAGCATCCAAATCTTGTCGAAGCACATCTGACGCGTCTTTCCGGGCAGCCATCAAAGTTTCTCCCTCGTGCAAATGTTACGCCATCTGCACAACATCCGTATTCAGAATTTATACATAGAGTTTCTGGGCATCCATATCTGTCAGGGCCTTCAGCTGCCGTTCTTCCGTCTTCACAGCATCCAAATCTTGTCGAAGCACATCTGATGCCTCTTCCCGGACAGCCATCAAAGTTTCTCCCTCGTGCAAATGTTACGCCATCTGCACAACATCCGTATCTAGAATTTATACATAATGTTTCTGGGCATCCATATCTGTCAGGGCCTTCAGCTGCCGTTCTTCCGTCTCCACAGCATCCAAATCTTGTAGAAGCGCACGCGCGCTCTTGTGTAGGGCATGGATCCTTGCTTTTAGCTCTTGCGTACGTAACCCCGTCCGGGCAACAACCATATACGTACTTTCGGCAATCTTTCTCTTTACAGCCCAAATGTTCTGGTCCCAACGCGGCTGTTACCATATCTGGACAACATCCGAAATCTGATACGTGGCAGGGAACTATTGCACATCCATAATAATTATCTCCCCTTGCTACCGTGTTGCCATCTGGACAGCAACCATATTTGGTCTCACGACAAGTTGGGCAACCTACGTAATCTTCTCCTTTGGCATACGAAACTCTATCCTGGCAGCACCCGTACCTTGACAGACGGCAATCCTTTTCTCTGCACCCTTCATGATAATAGCCTCTTGCAATTGTCCGTCCATCAGGGCAACATCCATAAGTTGTGGAATGGCAGTCAGGAGGTGCGCAACCCTCAGAAACAAAAGTTACTCCATCCGGACAACACCCAGCCTCCGAGGTTCTGCAGTCAGCTGACGGACAGCCTTTGAAATTTACTCCCCTGGCAAAATTAATCCCATCCCTACAGCATCCGTATCTCGATCTGCGACAGTTCTGCGTTCTACATCCTTCATGGTTTGGCCCAGATATAGTCAAGCCGTCAGGGCAGCAGCCAAATTCTGTGTAGTGGCAGCAGCCTTCACCGTTTGGTCCTTGGGCTACGGTTGCTTGATCAGGGCAACATCCATATTCCGTTCTTTCGCATTCATTCCTCACACGACAACCGGCATAGTTACTCCCTTGTGCATATGACACACCATCTGGACAGCAACCGTATGGCGATTCTTCGCATCTTCGTGATCGACATCCTCGATAATTGTTACCTCTGGCAAACGAGACACCATCTTGACAACATCCATATTGGGAAAGGTTGCAATCCTGTCTGGCACATCCTTCCTGTTCATATCCACCAGAAGCTGTTACTCCATCAGGACAGCAGCCATATTGCGAACGTCGGCAATCATTGATTGGACATCCGAGTCCCTGTGGACCTGTTTTAAAAATACGTAGACAAGAAGTTATTTTAAAATCCGGGGATAAAATAATCCTCGTGTTATTTAAAATATATAACGCATGAATTAATCCCAAACTAAAATAATTTATATACAAATTTATATTTTTTAAAAAAGTCAAGTTTATCATTTACTCAGTTTCATTTATTAGATTAGGAATTGTGTCATTTAGTATCATCCATAACTTGCCGAGGCTTTCGGCTAACTTGATGAATATTTATGAGCATTCATAAATTTAATAATTTTGAAAAACTAATAACTGTTCTAGGGCTATGATAACTTAGACGGAAAAGAGTTTGTTAGAAACAAAGAAAATAAAAATCGCTATTTAATGTTCATCCTCTTATGTGGCAGTGAATGTTTGACAATCTAGTTGCGGTTGAGGAAAAACCTAGAACCAACAGAAATCTGGTTCTACAAAAGGATACAACAATTCCATGAATGAAGCAAGTAAACAACAAGGAAGTTTCAAAGAAAAGGGACAACAGAAAGCAGATTTATATTCAAAATCAGGAAAAGAAAGCTGAAATTCTTTGTGCACAGAATGAGGAAGGAGGGTTTGGGAATCTTACTCCCTACCCCTACCCCCTACAGCAGATATTGAGGTCAGGAGAGACAGAAAAAGGCAGTGAGAATGGGAAACGGGGTGGGGGAGGTGCTAGCATTAAGAGAGGAAGAAAAACTGCTAAGATCCACATGAAATAGGAAGTTGTAAAGTGACAGGACCCAAAGAATGTGAGTTCAATACTCAGTTAAGGTAGTGGAGGACTTGGAGAGCGAAATTAACAGGTTGGTTAGATCCAGTGGCAGGACCCAAAGAGTTCAATACCCCGTTAAGGCAGTGGAGAACTTTCAGAGGGAAATTAACAGGAGATAATTGGCATGCATTAAACATTGCACATGGAACTAGAACAGTCTACCCCAGTGAGCGAAATAAAGGGTTCAGTTCGACATTCCAACCACCTGAAGAAGGCCGGAGCGTACAACGGCCGAAACGTTGTAATAATTATGGCGACAAAGATGAGGACAATAGTCCGAATAGTGTAAATATTATACATAATACCTCATCTCAGAAATATAGACAGATCCTGTTTGACAGTCCGAATAATGTAAATAATGAGCTATAATCGCCTGTATCCTGAAAGGACGCAGTACATAAAAGAAGTCCTCTCACAGACATTCCCTTTAGGAATCCATGTTCCTATCTTAGCGTTCTTTCTACTTTTCAAATTAGTCTTCAAACTCCTCTTTAGTGATCGCCATCAACTCCTTGTTTCCTTAATCTTATCTAAGGTTGAAAATTCCGTTTTTCTATAATAATATTAGGTTTTGGAAAAGGTGGCCTTGACGTAACTGGATCATGTGAGATTTTGTCCCCCTCCACTCCCCCAAAAATAAGAGAAGAAAATACACAAAATCTACTCAATGGTATGTCATTTACAATCCTCTTCTTTTATAAAATGCAAATCAGACCGAAAATGGAGTACTTTTGCCATATTTGGGCATGAGCTGCTCACTTTCTAGTCTTTATAAGAATTCAAAAGCGTCTCCAAATCCTTGAGGTAGAAGAATTATTTTCCACCTTCCAACTTTCCAACCTTCCAATCTCTCTCTCTCTCTCTCTCTCTCTCACACACACACACACACACACAAAGCGGGGTGTGGCGGGCCAATCACTGCTCTATCACTACTACCATGGAAAGTGATCGGACGAACTGCATCTTCTGGTCCTACCTGGTCCCCACCTTAACGGCTAGGACTCGCCATGCCACTTACATAATAACAAACTAACCACATTCCCTCTGTATTCCATTGGCGGGGAAGTAATTTCCACTCAAACAGCTTCTTCCCGAGAATTGCTCTGTGGGACAGACTCCTAAAATGATGTTTCCCCGATCACTAAAATCTCAACTATATCAAGTCTAAATTTAACCGTTATCTTCCTCTCCTATCCATGTAAACTACCCCTTAACGTAAGCCTCTACCTCGAGTGTCCCCCGGGCTTTGTACACGGTGAACCCCACTGTAAAAAAGGTTCATTAACGCTAAGGTATAATGTCTGTTCACGTATGTACAGTAATGTCTTCCCAAGCACACTGCGCAACCCCTGTTCTCAAGATAATTAAAATAGCTACACACTTTCCGGACAGGCTTTGATCAACTTACCACGAGCAGCAGTTACTCTATCTTCACAGCATCCAAACGGTGTAGAAATACAACTTGAAACTGTCAAATACAATAAAATCGACAAATTACAATAATGTTTGGTTAGAACGAATTGTTTGTGGCTATCGTCCTTTAAAAAGCATTTCTTTCCTCCTTATAAAGCTAAAACTGCCTTCATTACTAATGTTGTACTAGTTTTCTTTTCTTTTTTTTATCTTTTATTTTTATAATTTTATTTGACATACCTACCAATCGTTAAATCATGAAATCGGAAGAAAGAAGCATTTATAATCGCATTTCATGGACGATTTTATGAACCGATTCAAACACTGATGTTTAATATTACTTTAACGATTGTAAGTTAATTTATCCGGAACGTTGTGATAAAAGGCGTGATCAAGAAAACTAGCGTACAATGGATATTAGAAATGTTTCAGTGAATTCAAATAACTTAAACACTGGCCGAAGACATTGATTAACATTTCTAGATATTAAATTAAAATCAACATGGTTTCACGAAATAAATCCAGCTCACAATAACCTTTCTTAGGTTAAAAATATTCAAAGATTAAGTTCAAGAAGACAACTGTATTTAATAAATATTTTTAGACTCCATTTTTACAAACATCAGATAGGATCGAACTCACCAAATTAAAAGAGGTCTCTGTTGCTATTCATCCAACCGCAACGCATTCTTACTGTTGAATATATTACAATAATAGCGACCGGCTGTTCGTCGCACATTTCTTTTGTTTCAAACCCCGCAGAGCCCACGTGGGTTTTGTACAACAACTCCGCTTGAATACATTGCTCGACCTAATTTTATTCACAAGACTTGGCTCAGCCAGTGGTATGGTTTTCAGTCACCTCTCAACAGTGTCGACACGCTGGGAATGTCTCTCTCTCTCCCTCTTTCTCTCTCTCTGTCATATATATATATTTATATATATATAACTGGAGAAGGCCGTAGCGTTGTAATAAATATGGCGACAAAGATAAGGACAATAGTCCGAATAATGTAAATAGTGAATATTAAAAATGCTGGAAAATATACACGGTAATTTAATTTTAGGAATTTCAACTTTAAATTTAGTATAGTCATCACTCTTATTTTCCGATAATGTCGTGTATGATCGCACATATTTTCAAAAATGGTCACCTTCATATACATAAAATAAATTCATAGATATATATATACTCGATTTGTCGCAGTTGTCGCATAATACTCATAACGAAATAAAGTTTTCGTCAGGTGATGATCCCGGGAGTTTCAGGCAAGGTTTTGAAGCATCATTACAATTAATCAAAAGCACTCGAGTTATACCTCACGATACCAGCAGTATGACAATACTAGATCCAGGCAGATGCAACATATTACCGATCTTGAAGTCTCTTAATGCATTTCCTCTGTTGGTGACAATCGGAGATTTTATACAGATATTCCAAGATTGGATTGGCTACAAAATCTTCGTCATCTTCTTTGAAGTAACAGATGCGAAGATAAAGAAACAGATGCGAAGATAAAAGAGTGAGAGTTTGCCTGTCTTTTAAATGATCTCTTCCAATATTTTAATACTTACCTATTCCTCGGCGACAATTTTCTTGGCAGTCTCGATCGGAATCGAATCTGTTATCGTTTCCACGACAACCGCCATACCAAAATTGTTCGCATCTTCTGCTTGAGATGTTAAAAAACCATTTGATAACATAATCTTGGCAGGGTCCCGTTTCTGACTTCTGTTCACATAGATTAACTTCCGTCAAACGTGTACGGCTTCCTAAAGAAAAAAACAAAAAAGCAAAGAGTGAATAAAAACCTTTTTATTTTTTTATTTTTTATTTTTTTTGTTATGTTAACACTTGGATGGCATTCTAATTTCAATGATTACATACTGGGATTTATTTGAAAAAGTCATTAAATAAATAATTTACTTCATTATCTCGGATATTTTCTTGGTGATGAAGTCTTCGCCATGCCCAATAAAAGGCTTTAAATCCTTTCAGACTAGAGCAATGATTCCCAGCGAGGGGCGCATGCCCCACCCCAATTATTTCATGATTAAAATCCTCAAAGTATATTTCATTCAAATACTTTTTTATATTTCTGCCTTTCAGTTCTCTTTCATATCTTTTGGAACTATATATGCTTAACTGTCTTTTTGTTTTTTTAATTTTTCTCTTTCATGGACGCCATGGTCTTTGGAGGTTTGTTTAGAGACCAAGTAAATGGCCTTTTAAGCTTCCTTTACGTGAATTGCAGTACAATTTTGAATATGTAAGGATTAAATATTATGGGGTGGAGGTACCAGAATTTTAGAAATCCTAAAGTGGAGCATGACCCAAAAATTGGTTGGGAACCACTGGACTAGACTATGACGAGTTGACAGGGAAGTGGAATTAAGAATCGTTCTTCTCCTACACTGAACCGACTATTTTACCTGTGAGTGAAGCAGATAGGTTCATGCCTTTCTCAACAGAATTAGTTTTAAGTGAACGCAAAAGTCTCAGCCGAGAATTGAGCTTGTTTTGCTGATTCTATTTCATGCACTGCTAACCGTCACGCAACCTGATATATTTTATAACTATCGGACAATTTTCTTCATCTTCAATATAATTTTTCAGCAGGTATCTTCTTCAGCCTTCTTCAATTGCCTGAAATATTTTCATTATTGTTGTGAATGCCGAGATGAATTCGGTCTCCAATGAAGGACAAACGCAAGAATTAAATATAAGAAATAAAATGTATTTACACAATCATACAAAGAGTAATACTGTTAGTAAATCCAGGAACGAGGTTAGTAGCAAATACAGATGGATATATACAGTCTCGAAGTAGGACTTCCTTAGAGTCTACGTGCTTGTAATTGACTTTACAAGCGGTTACCTCACACTATCTCCGTTCGTATATTCTCTCACTCTCCGTATATCCTCTCTCACTGACTGTCTAACTCTGGGTATTTAACGACAGCACTCCAAGTAATACTGGTAGAGTCCACTTATATGAAAAGGGGAGGACCCCATAACAATTATTTCATAGATTTTTCGAATTGTTGTTTTTGCTTTTTATTACTTTTAATGAAAAGCTTCAGCAGATATAGTTTTCTGACTTCCACAAGTATATTTTGGATGTTTTTTTTTTGTTTTTTTTTTTAGAGGGGTACTTGTAGTTTTTTTTATGATCACAAATAGAATGTCAAAGCTCAGCAGAGTCACGGGACTTAGTGTTAGTGGTTTTCAAAACTGGTTCCTGGATTACATTAAGTTTCGCCCACCATATTTCTTTTCACTACTACTACTACGACGACGACGACTACAACGAAAATTATCCTCAATTACAACACCTAGACATTTGAAACCTTCTTTTAACGTGGGTTAAGTAATTTATTTACCTGAAGTTGCAGTTGGTGTTGGGTAGATGGATGAAGTTCGTTGCCCACGGCAAGTAGCTAAACACTGTTGACGATCCTCAAAACGGTTGTCGTTACCACCACAGCCGCCATACCAAAATTGATCACACCTTCCCGTAGTTGCATTATATGACCATCTCATCTCGTAATCTCCACAGGAGCCAGTTTCTTGTTTCATGAAGCAAATATCTTTAAATAAAAGTAAATGAAGAAAAATAAAACTATATATATATATATATATGTAAATTTTAAATTCTTTTTTTCTTCCCACCTTTGAAAGTGAAGTCTGAAGATCCAGAGAAAAATAAGATTCTCTGGTGAAATAAATTATAACTAATGGAGCCTTAAAGTGGTCTGTTTTTTGTTTAAATTAAATTATTCGCTCTGACTTAACATTGAGCTCTCAGGATTTCATCTACCTTGGGATTATCTATAAAGATTACCAAGATTTTCATTACTACATATATATATATATATATATATATATATATATATATATATATATATATATACACACACTTTATTTTAGGATATTACATCACAAACGTATCAAAATCGGCACACAATTGCAGTCATGTTTCGATGCGCATACAACGCTTCTCATCAGGCGATTGCAAATTACTGGTGAGGGATTTATTCAGATTTAAAATCTAAATACAATAATAATTTTCATTTTAAATCTGATTAAATCATAACGATTTTGCCATGTTTGCGATGTAATATGCTAAAATAAAGAATATTGCTCTACTGTGTATTGAGCCCTCTTTTAAATTAAATGTTACGAACGTTGGAATTGTACTCTATTCGTGCTCATCTTACCTGTATATATACATATGGGGGGTGCAGTGTTCAATATCGAAGATATATAGACAATGTAGACATAGGAATCAACACTGCATGTTGGCTGTCTGCTCCACGTCTCAAGCGATTTTCACTTGAGAATATCACTTAAGGCGTGAAAATGACTGTCGCGATTCATTGTGTATTCCTGTGTACTCACTATTCTCTATTATATGAGAGAGAGAGAGAGAGAGGGAAGGGGGCAGAAGGAGACGAGGAGAAATATTTTAATAAATGAAAGCGAAAATTAAAGAAATTATTTATAACAAAACGAAAAGGAAAATACGGAAAGATAGCAAGAAAAAAGAAGGGAAGATTTTCTAATAAACAATATTTTGGAGAAAGAAAGAAAGAAAGAAAGAAAGAAAGAAAGAAAAAGAAGGAGGAGGATAAGAGAAAAAAGAAACAGGGAAAGAAACAATTAAACGAACGAAAGAAGGAATATGTTTATAAAAATACCATAGAAAGAAAAATACACAGTAATTAAATTATAAAAAGGAAAGAAGGAAAAAAGAAATTCAAAGAAAGAAAGAAACACAATGATGTCAAAAGAAAAATGAAAGATAACGATAAAGTTATTCTAAGAAAGAAAAAAAGAAAAACTGCAATATCTCCTAAATAAACAAAAAAAAAAGTTTTCATGATAGAAAAAGGAAAAGAAAAATATCCTAGTAACTGAAGACCAACGTTAACTGGAGTAAAAGATGGCTTGTCAATTTTAATGCCTCCAAAATTAAACTGCTCTCCATTAGTCAACCAAGAGACTCCTCACTGACTTCCATCGGTACGGCTGATGCTATCCTTCATGAAAGTGACTCATTACACCTTATCGGGCTAACGTTCTCAGCTGACATGAAGTGGAAAGACTTCATTGAATCCATCGCCATATCAGCTGCTAAGAAAGTCGGTTCACTGTGTTGAGCAAGACAAATTTTCTTTCTGGAATCTATCTTGCATATCTAAGTCCACCATTCGTTCATGCTTAGAATATTTCTGCCATATATGGCCCGGTGCTCCTGTTATTTTTTTTGGAGCTCCTTGTTTAGATCCAAAGAAGAATCAGCAATATTATTGGTCATGATGTGGCGACTCGGATGCAGTCACTGAACCACCGCCGTAACGTTACCTCTCTGTACCTGTTTTTAATAAATACTTTCATGATATTTGTTCAGACGAGCTCTACCCTATATTACCTAGGTTGTATGAATTTAAGTGCAATCCTGGTGGCGATAAGGTCTCATCAATTTACAGTTGAGCTAGCTGGATGTAGCCGTAAATCCTATGCTAACAGTTTCTCATCTCGCACTTCTCTCTTGTAGAACTCCTTTTCGGCTCCTTGCTTTCCAACCAACTTTAATCTGCAAAAATTTAAATGCGATGTCAATTGCTATCTACTGTCTCCTGGTTACACTTTTCTTTCTCCTCATTTGCTACTGTTTTTGTGTTCTTAATTCCTCCAAACATCTTGTGACCCGCTTTTGCTGTACTGTTTTGCTTAGGGTGATACCGATTAAAACAGAACTATAGAAAAATATCCCAAGAGTGAAAGAAAACAATGCAATTGGAAAAATGAAAGCAATAAATCCCGAGAAAGAAATAAAGAAAGTAGATTCCCAGAGAAAATTTTGAGCAAAAGTGAGGTGAAGTAACACAACAAAAATAAATTTAAAAAAAATTAGTTCAAAACCTACTTCCATTTGCGGTAATTGAGGCCAAAGTTGGATCCGTCTCGGGTACCTGATTTGTACGCAATGAAGGACATCCTGCATAACTTGGTCCTTCGGCTGCGTTCACACCGTCTGGGCAGCAACCATAATCAGTGTTATGGCAGTCAGCACGACGTTCACCACAGCCTGCATAGTCCGGACCTGATGCAGCGGTCTGTCTGTCTTGGCAGCATCCATACAGTGTCCCCCAGCATGGGGCCTGAAAAAGGAACAGGATAAATAGTAATTGGTTTCCGGTTTCGTTTAATGTCAAGAGAAATACTAAATATAATTAAGTATTTTTCAAACAATATGTAATGCTTGGAGACTCATTTTTATAAAACCTAGAGTTGACAACGCGATATCCAACATACAGGGGTTAGACAAAATAATTGAGACAGTTGCAAAATTCAGTCCTATATTTCAAAGACCTATTATATTAAGAACTTTAACTAAAACTTTGTAATTGCAGGTTATATCTATTGTAAATACGTTTATTTATCTAACTTACTGTCTTTGTCTTATTTATTTTTAGAATTTAGTAAAATTTAAGCTAAATGCGTGACCTCTCCGATTTCGAAAAAGAGCAAATTGTTGAAGCTCGCATGGCAGGAGCCTCGATCACTAAGGTTGCTGAACTGTTTGTTTTTTCAAGAGCTACCATAACAAGAACACTGATGCAATTCGAGAAACAACCGTAACAATTCAGGCCGGACTTGTAAACTTACTGACAGAGACTGACGTGCATTGAAACGCAATGTGGCAAAAAAAAAAAAAAAAAAATCATCGGTCAAATGCGGCTAAAGTGACTGCTGAGTTGAATAACCATCTGAATAGTTCAGTTTTTACTAAAACTGTTTGCCGTGAGCTCCATAAGGCTGCATATCATGGAAGAGCCGCTGTGAGGAAAACTCTTCTCTCCACTCGCAACATTCAAAAGAGGTTGAAGTGGTGCTGAGATCACAATGCCTGGTCTGCAGACCAATGGAAGAAAGTCATATTCTCAAAGAAGTCCAGTTTTTCTCTTTTCCCAAATTCAGGGTGAGTTTATGTGTGGAGGCAGCCCAAAGAAGCTTACAACCCTGACTGCCTTCTTCCAGCAGTAAAGCATGGAGGTGGATCAGTGATAGTTTGAGCCACCATATCATAGAAATTTCTCAGTCCAATAGTTGTCCTGCATGGTAGAATCAACAGCAAAGATTACCTGAACATTTTAGGAGATCATGTTCATCCAATGGCTAAGACTTTATTCCCTGATGGTGACTGCATCTTCCAAGACGATAATGCTCAAATACATACCGCATCAGTGGTTTAAGAATTGGTATGAAGAGCATGAAAGTGAGCTAGAATACATGGAGTGGCCTCCCCAATCTCCAAGTATCAATATTATTGAACATTTGTGGTGCATTTTGGAGCAACAAGTTAGGAGCCGCTATCCTCCAGCCTTGTGTTGCAAAGAGCTGGAGAAGGTTTTAATGGAAGAATGGCTGAAACTTCCTCTGGATGAAGTCAGGAAGCTGTATGATTCCATTCTTAGACGTATTAACTCTGTCTGTGAGGCTAGAGGATCAACTCCATATTAAATAAATTTTCTTTGAATTTAACAAGTGTTCCAATTATTTTGTCCAACCCCTGTATATTGCTTTACACGTAAGGGTCACTTATGAAGAGAAAATCAAAGACTGCATTTTGAAAACTAAGAAAGCTTTGTTGCAGTGATTCGTGGGGTCTGGCATCTAGCATAAAGTACACAGTATACAGCTCTAACAATATTTTAGATTATGGGACCAAACAATAAGTAAATAAGTATTTTTAAAATCATTCTCTATCTTTTGATGAGACTGAAATAGAAGCTTATAGAAAGGAAAATAAAACACTGTATTTTGAAACCTGATGCTCTGTCTTTTAATGGAAATCTGCTCTTAGGGTCATAAGGGCATTACTTGTACTGCAACCGTCGCAGTAATGGGTGTGTCTAAGACTAGAGAGATTGTCAGAACACCTCTTTCTTTAGGGTGACATAGATCATAACACCAACCATAAAACTAAATTTAGTTTTAAAATCATTCTCTACATTCTCTTTAGATTACTCCATAACCTGGCTGCTTTGAAAACGAAAATAAACATAACATTTACAAACCTTTTAATGCAAAGAATTTATTTTGTCATTTTCGGATGGAATCAGAAGAAGCGAACGAAAGAAGGAATATGTTTATTATTCGGACTATTATCCTCATCTTTGTCGCCATATTTATCACAACGTTTCGGCCGTTGTACGCTCCGGCCTTCTTCAGGTGGTTGGAATGTCGAACTGAACCCTTTATTTCGCTCACTGGGGTAGACTGTTCTAGTTCCACGTGCCATGTTTAATGGATGTCAGTTATCAGTTATCTCCTGCTAATTTTCCTCTGAAAGTTCTCCACTGCCTTAACCGGGTATTGAACTTAGACTCTTTGGGTCCTGTTACTTTATCCACTGTACCATCACATGGCACAGTGGATAAAGGCGTTAGTTAGATCCAGTGGAATTTCCAAGGAGTACAGCATTTTCAGCTTGTTAAACACAGTCGCGCTATCAACGCTAAACTTCATTGTCAGCAGCTAAACCATGTGTACGACAAACTAAAGAAGTATCCTATTTTGGTCATTCGAGATCTGGCTTTGTTTCAGCGAGGCAACCCTAATACACACCCTGCCAAGTTGACTAAGGAGAAGTTCAAACATATGGACAGTGTTGAGATTCTTCCATATCCACCATTCAGTCCCGATGCTGCTCCGAGTGACTATGGCCTAATCCGCTTAATGAATCTCTTCCTCCACGAACAGCGATTTAACATTTTTTGATGAAATAAAGGAATCTTCTTTACGGTTTTTTGATTCAAAACCAGCGGACTGGTATCTGGGATAGATTCGGATGCTGGCTGATCGTTAACAGAAGATCGTCAAGAATAATGGACTTTATTTTGAAGAATAAATGTTGGTGTTGATCCATAAGATTTTGTTGTTTTCTTTCCGCTTCGTAAGTGAGTCCGGAATTTCTGACCAACCAAATATTAAAATCATACGCACGCACATTATTTCTATTTTGATTTGATTATTAGACATTTTGGGAATAGATTGGACAAGTGTATGAGAAAGAAACTGAATATTTTTTTTACTATTAATGAGTTTTATGAAACTTAGGAAATCTTTCAAAATCAGAATTCAGTTTGCTCATTTGATGTAAGCAAAAAAGATTGCGTATTCCCATCTGTGGAGTGACTAGCCATGATCAGATACAAAATAAGTAACAGAATTGACCAATAAACAGAATTAAACATGTTTGCAACAACAAAAAAGAACAGGGCAAAAATAATATAAAGCAAGCAAACAATATATGCAAGGCAAATGAACAATAATAATGCAAAAGTTCACAAAGAATTGGCGTCAACACACAAAAGCAAGTTCGGAGAAGTGAATGCAGTGTTGTGACAAAACAAGATAGACCGGGACTGAGTCAGGTCAAACCGAGAACCGGCCTATCGCAGTTGTAGGGTATCTTACGATACGAACACTATTTTCATCTGGATCTGGTCGGATTCTTCAGGCATCAGCTCAAGCTGAAGATCAGAACTGAGAGAAAGCTTTTGTTATCGGCAGATTTCAGCTAAAAGGGGGTAAATATGGCAAGCCTGGTTCACGTGAACGGCTCTAGTCTTTATTTTCTTTTTTAATTTCCCATTGTCACAACGGGGCGTTTTTCTGTGAACCCTCCCCCTGGTTAAGCTAGACAATATTATGTTTACCTGGTTAATGCTAGTAAGTGTTAATCCCTAACTCTTCTCGACACTCTCTTTTGTTATAATCCATGTCGAGATTCCTAATCTCCCCAATTTGTTTTTGCCCCCCTCTCACATTTTTTTTTATCATGTATTTCGTCATTTACTTTTTCCGTTCCACTACATTAGTGATTTTGCTTCTTCTGTCTATAGACAGAATACAACGGCCGCTCTTATTATTTTTGACAAGTGAACGGTTCCTACTGACATCTGTTATGTTTTAGTGTATTTTTGTTATATTTTTAGTTTGTTTTTTGGGGTTCATCTTCTACGCCGTCATTTCATGTTCAGGAAATAATTTTTATATATTTTTATGCGAAAAAAGAAAAAAAAAAACAAAAACAAAGAAATATTTTGAACTTTGCAAATTTTTATGCCATGGGTGATTTGCAGGTTCCCTGTGAACATGTGGTATTGTGGTACATGTAGGATTGAATGGTGATGGATGGTGGTGACATTTAATGAATGAGTAAATTGTAATGAATGAATGGGTCGTAAACCTGATTAGCTACGTCTATAATATGTACTATTGATCAGCCTTACGTTACTCCCACTTTGACCTCGTGTTGCAATTGTGTATTTATGTCACAATAAATAATCGTTCCTAGTAAGATTGAAATCAGCAACATCTGTTATCTGAGACCTATATTTGATTTTGTTAAGGAAAATAAAATAGATATTAAATATATTTGGTTTCTGTATTTGTTTTCTTTCCACGATGTGTGGAATAGATTATAAATAAAATCCAATTCCGGATAAAACCATCAAACGGGCCGCAAGCAACCCACGGATCGTAGTCTTACCCAATACTGAGTAAAACGGCAAAATATGCGTTCAACGAGTTTTGTTCTTACCTCAACTGATTCTGCGGATTCTGCACATTGGTGTTCATTGCAGACTTTCATTTGACGCGGGCTTCCACCCAATGATTCTTCGCAGTATCTCTCTTTCACTCGTTTACTTCCCGACGTTGAAATCTCTTCACATACTAATATCATGGACATCTCGCCACCGTCGCAACTTTGGCTACATTCGGTCCATCCGGCCTCCACCCATTTACTGAAACGGAAAAACGAATATCAAACATCCGTCGAAACGGGATTACTTGCAATGAATTTGATTAACAAAAGAAGGGAATCTTATGAAGAAATACATTGGAAAGTCACCATCAATAAAAACAATTTGGTAAACTTTTATCCTGACACCGATTCGCCGATCAATCGGCGTCTTCAGAAAAAATGTATTTCATTGAAATTAAATCTACATTAGAGAGACAAAATATGATTTATGTTTTTCATTAATTTGGAATAAGATTTTACTCTTTTCAACTGTATTTATTTTAAGCTTTTCGTGTCACCTACTATTCCAGGGTAGGTAATCATTACAACGAATGTCATTTGATCCAAATCTGGCTTCATTGTCATGAATGGTTCATTTTACTGAAAAATCAAAAGCTAAAAAATTAAAAGGAGGTAACTTTTATGTCCGAATAGAGCTTTTCAAATTATGTATGTGAGCGATTCGATTTAACACTTTCAGTGGAGCCAATTTCCCGTCAAATGAAACTGATCGCCATATCAGCACCAATTTAGTAAGAACAGGCTATAAATTAAAATAAACCGGTCGCATATTAGACACAGGGGATTCCGAGTTCATGCCACTTTCAATGAATTTTCATCAGAGTAAATTATATTAACTTTTGACAAAACAAAACAAAAAAAAAAAACGTTGGGTCAAAATGAATGTTATTCCTTTGACACCGTTGTTATTACTGTATACACTTTTGACTCCCTCGGCAATATTTGTTGTTTTTAAAAAGTGATGATTAGAATTTTAATCAAACCCAAACATATGAAAGTGGATTTATACATTTTCTTTATTCTTGACAATTGAAAATAAAGACATGAAAGACTATTTATTTATTAGACTGCTTATCTGCAAGAATAAGTTTATATTTACAGGATTATAAAAATATGTGAATCAACTGTAAAGAATTATTTATTATTTACCATTTTATAAAGGAATAAATATGAAAAGAAATTTTTTTATTCATAAATTTATAAAAACTATTTTTGAAGAAGAAAATATAAATAAACTCCTAACGATGAGTAACTGTAATAATAAAGTCTGAAAACTAAATCCGACTAATACTTTCCTGTTTTATTTTTAGAGAAGACTCGTGTCATTTGATACTTACAAGGAACTGTCACATTCTACTTCACACTTTTGGATACTGCGTGGTTTGCTCTCCTCGGGACATTTGCCTTTACTCTCCACCCGTTTTTCCATATCGAAACATTGTACTGCTCGACGTTGTGTACCTGAAAAGAGGACTCAATAGGTAGACTGTTGGTAACGTGGCCAATTGTGTTTTTCTACAGCTTACTATCATTTGTAATTCCAAGCAATATTTATCACTTTACCATTGACCGTTGTTTCTCTCTGTCCATCTGTGCCTTCAATAGATCCTGTGAGTGTCAAATTTCCAAGCCCACTTTCCTCTTTATGATTTCCAGAGATTTCAACTGTAACTTTCTTTGTAATTTTAACTATAAGCCTCCCTTTTGTTTCCAGTTTTATTCAAACCCGATGCACACATGGCATTCTGTTACTTAAAGCCTCTTCTTCAACTCCGAGGAAATTGTCCCGCATTCAACGACACAGAGAAAGATTTCAGTTCAGTAAACTTTTAACATTTAAAAAAATATATTTGTTTTTATATCTAATGTTGAAGCAGATTGGTTTCATTACTTGACATCCTCCTCATGCTTATATTATATTTGTGTTTATATATATATATATATATATATATATATATATATATATATATATATATATATATATATGAGATAATCCTAAGGTGCCAGACAAACCTACCCTGAAGATCCGTTTAGGTGAAACCTAGGTAGGTTTACCTGGCTCCTTAAGATTATCTTAGGTTTTGCTCTATTTAGTGAATTGAGCATTTTACGTAGTTGTATTTTTACTCGTTTTGGTTTTTTTTTTCTTTGGACTTGGAGCTTAACACTTGACTATTATTTTTGCCTTGTCTTAAAGTTATTGGTTCTTTTTTTTATTCCCCATATTTCGTCGAGTACCGATTTGTTCTACTGCAAGTTGTGCTATCCGAGGTTTTTCCAAACGAGCACCACAATTTATATATATATATATATATATATATATATATATATATATATCCACCAAACTTATATATGTGTGTGTGTGTATGTGTGTGTGTAACCCTCAAATTCACATCTAACTTAGTATAAAAATAACGAAAAGTAAAAAAAACGACAGTCAATTGCTGACCCCCTCCACCCTCTGACTAGTAGACTGAACAATTACAAAAAGTGTTCATATAAAAAACTCCGTTGATGTGCTGAATATAACATTAATCAGTTAAATGGCCTTTTTTTTTTTAATTGTTTGACAGTCTGGGATTGTTAATATGTAATAGTAACAATTGAACTAATCTATGTTAATATATGATAACTAACCAATCTTTTATGTTAGATTATTTGAATCTAATAATATTTAACAACATTATCAATTGGTTTATATGTAATATCAACCAATTATCAAATGCATGTTAAAATATAATAATGTTATGAAATATGCTAAAGAAAAAAAATGTATGGACGTGATCCAAATACCTATTGTTCCGCCATATGTGAGCACCTCTTAAATAACAGAGGGTGTGCTGCTAATTTTAGTGCTGATTGGTTCACTGATGTGTCCCGGTCACACTCTTTATTTCACCTCAATGTACTGGAGGCACTTTATATCGGGTCCCGTAAACCTTCCCTGTGTAAACAACGTGAATGTTTATTGGGTCTCGTTGTTGTTATTTGTCATTAGCTCATTGTGAGCATTTTTTTTTCTTCCCTTTTCCTTTTCATTGCACATTTCTAGTGTTTTTTATTTATTAAATTGGGTATGTCTAGTTATTCAGCTTCATATATATATATATATATATATATATATATATATATATATATATATATATATATATATATATATATATATATATATCTATGTCAAGAGACAGAGCAAAATTATTATTAATTAAAGAATATCAAAGACTTAAAATCCCACATTTATAATTTTTATTTCATGAGAATCTTTTTAAAAAGCAGGTCGCAATCTTCAGGAGCTACAAACAAAATCTTTTTGTTTCTAGGTTTTGAAGATTGACAGCTGCTTTTTTAGAGCTCTCATGAAATAAAAAATTATTGCCTATGGGATTTTAAGTGTTTGATATTCTTTAATTAATAATATATATATATATATATATATATATATATATATATATATATATATATATATATATATATATACTGATACGCATCGAAACACGACTGCAATTGTGTAGCGATTTTGACATGTTTTTGGTGTTATGTCCTAAAAGAAATAATACTTTGTATTGAGCCCTCTTTTAAATTAAATGTTACGAACGTTGGAATTGTATTCTATTCGTTCCCATTGTACATGGATATATATATATATATATATATATATATATATATATATATATATGTATGTGTGTGTGTGTGTGTGTGTGTGTGTGTGTGTGTGTGTGTGTTCATTTCTTGCATTCCTTACGTAAATGAAGTACAGAGATTTATTTACATCATTTTTTTTTTCGTTTTACCCACCTTCTCCGCAATTACCCGAGCATGCAGTCCAGCTACCGTGTTGCCATTGGTATTGTGCAGTAGACCTTCGTGGGTTCCATCCAGGTGGTGCATCTCCGCTAGGTAATGGGGTTTCTTCAGATGAACTGTGACGGTTACGAGCACTTCGGTTTCGTGTACGTGATTTCCTTTGTCTTGTCAAGCGGCTTCTGTTCAAAAACGTTTTAGCTTCAGTCTCGCTGCTTTTTTGCTGGCGCAGGCGCACACGCTCCACGGGTTTGCTAGTGTGGCCCTTTTCAGCAATGTAATACTCGTAGGATATTTTTGCGTCTTCTCCACTGCCGACCAGCTGTAAGCATAAAAAGAGTTTATTACGAGTCACTTATAACGAATTATAAGTTGACAGCGACTTTTCAAGTCGAATTAAATCACTGGTAGCTTTATAAATATTTTCGTAGGCGCGTTTGTGGCCGAATTTGGCAGATTAAAAAAATCGCCGAAATTATTGAAAATGAAAGACAATGATGGAAAATGATATGAAATATTTGGAGTTTATCACAGATTCGGTCAAACAATAAAGGATACGATGGCTAAATTGTTTCTCCTTTTATATTTTTACTTTCGCGCATGTGCGTTGTTTGTTTTTGATTTATTGACTGCACACTATAGTAGGGTCAGTTGGGCACCGTCTGTGAACACCATGACGCAATTCATTTCGCCAGAAATTTGGTAACGGCATGCTGTACTGCTTGGCATTCGCATTTTAAGGTGTTTGGGTGTCAATCTGAGAGGGCAGTGCAGAGGATTCAAAAAGAGTTGGATGAGTCTAAATGTGATTACGAAAGTATTTCAAGATATTTTTGTGTAATTTTCATAAACATATCTGTTTAAAAGAGATATCAGTGTTATTTTCATTTTTGCGTCATTTAGACGACAATTTATCCATTGCACCCTGTATGTGACAATTTTTTCTTTTGAAACTATTTGATTTGATGAAGGCATACTGCTACACAGTACTAAATGATTGGGTCATCTACGATTAAAACAGGTCCCCCCCACCACGCCTTTCTGGTGAGGATTGTGGCTCGACACATAACAACATTCAAAACAGGAACCTGTCAAAGGGCAGATGAATCTTTCTGTAGAATCAACTGCTGTCCAGCAAAATGGGGTAAACTATCCAGGGGTCAGCAACTTTTTGCTACCTGTGTGCCGACTTAGGGTCTTTAAAATCATTCAGTGTGCCAACAACATACGTATTTTTATACAAGTCAAGGCCAATATACTTGTTCTACAATATATTTTATATAGTAATATATAGTATATATACTTTAGTATATATTAAAATTGAAACAGCTAAATATCTTCTTTGCGTTGTAGGAGTTATTGGTTCGTACTTCGTGATGTCATTTGCGGCTGCGTGCCATTGGAAATTGCATGACGTGCCACGGGTGGCACGCGTGCTGTATGTTGCCGACCCCTGGACTATACCATTAGACAGTTTGCTAAAGACACGATATCTCTGACCAAGATATGGCTACACATGAATGAATACCTTATTCGCTTTCGACCCAAATATGTGGAGTGAACTGGTCAGGTGCTCGCTTTCTGACCACGAGACCCAGGTTCGAATTTCACCATGGTCAACCCTAGGACCACACACGGCCATGGGAGTGATGGAATGATGTTGCCGAAATAATTTGTTTTAGGATTTAATATAGGATTTTTTTAAATAACAAAATGTCCGGGATATCAATGATTGTCAAGAACATGTATGTGTTTTGTTGCTGGCCCAAAATAGTGTTTTTATCAATGAGTATAGTTTGAAATAGATAGTAATAAGCCAGGAATGATACTGACCACTAATGTAAGAGAATCGGTTGTGGGTCCTCGAGCAATCAAGAGTTGACCATTGGAATCTTTATCGTAATGGAACATCGTGCCGGCTGCAACGAACGTTTTATGTTTGGACAGTTCCCATTCTCTGTTAAGATAGAAATTACCTCTCTTGTCTCTGATGGCTGTAAAAAAAGAAAGGGTTTAATTTAATTAATTTCACATGCCGAGCCAAAATTAATAAGTACATCCTTATCGTCTAGCAAACTATTGTGCAGTGAGGTAGGTGCCTTACTGCTCGACTAAAATTTATAATATATATATATATATATATATATATATATATATTATAATAAAAAAAGAAAGAACAGTAAGATATCCGGTGTTTTTATTGATATTTTTTAATTTTTACAAAACAGTGCTCAATGTAAATTTACAGAGCATAAATATTATAAATTAACTGATTTAAAATTTAAAATTAAATCTGTTAATTTATAATATATATATATATATATATATATATATATATATAAGAAATATAGTCTTAAGGTGTGCTATATTTATAGGATAAAGTGCTCAATATCAGAGATAGAGCGTGTGTAAATATATGTTCACTTTTATATTTATATATATATATATATATATATATATATATATATATATATATATATATATAATTTATAAAGCCATAATTGTCACAATAATACACAAAAGAATCTAAAAAAATCTAAATGGCTGGTCACTTGCATCTGAGGGATGCCAATTGCTCTTGCACGTACATTTGTTTTGTCTTCTTTCCAACAACCACCTGTGGTTTATTCTGCAACTATGCTGAGCAGACCTTAGCTACAGTTTCTGGAAGAGAGAGAGAGAGAGAGAGAGAGAGAGAGAGAGAGAGAGAGAGAGCGTCTAGCGTGATCAACAGTCTGAACAAAGCTCAAACCCTCGGTCACGATGGCTTGTGACATCGTGCTAGTACAACCAAGGGTCTACACGTTTTTACTCATAAAGCCTGGGTTAACCGTTGTGTCCGGTCTCCATATAAATGGATATAGTAAAGATATTTAGATTATTTGTTGTTATTTTGACCCTTTACTTCAAAAGAATGCAGAAAGAATCATTCGCTTCCTTATACACAAAATCTGCTTTTTACTAAATTAATTTTATTAAAAAAAAACCATAATCCATAGACAGGATTCGAACTTGCGTCCCTCTAGGCAGAGGGAAAGTGACGTGCTTTCGACCGACTCAGCCACGAAGAACTTTTTTGCCGGTTTCCTCTGCACATGTTCAAATCCAGCTAGAGAGCATGTATTTTTGTTTAATAAGACTTTCCCAAATATTCAGGACGATAGACGAAAACAAATAAAGTTTAATAAATATAGTAAAATATGAGTATACACTAAAAATTGTGTTTAAAGTGATAAAATCAGTCATATCAATAAAAAAAATCCATCACTTCTTTAGAAAGAAACACACACATATATATATGGTAAACACATACACACACACATATATATATGGTAAACACATACACACACACACACACATATTTATATATATCTATATATGGTAAACACACACACACACACACATATATATATATATGGTAAACACATACACACACATATATATATGGTAAACACACACACACACACACACATATATATATATATATAAACACACACACACACACACACATATATATATATATATATATATATGTGTGTGTGTGTGTGTGTGTGTGTGTGTGTGTGTGTGTGTATGCCGATACCCCCTGAAGTGTGAGTGGACGGATATTTTCGACTATGAAACTCTGGAGGTAACATCAATCAGTTAAGTGATTTACATTCACATTAATATATATATATATATATATATATATATATATATATGTGTGTGTGTGTGTGTGTGTGTGTGTGTGTGTGTGTGTGTGTGTGTGTGTGTGTGTGTGTTAGAATTTGTTATATTTATGTAGAAAATGTGCTCAATATCGATGATGCAGCGTTTGCAGATATAAACAGCATGGACATAGTAATCAACGCTGCATGCTGAATGTCAGTTTCCGTTTTTGTGCGATCATAAGATCACAGTCAACATATATATATATATATATATATATATATATATATATATATATATATATATATAATAATCCAATACGTTCAATTTTTTATGACAATGTTTGAAAATGCAACGAAATAGCTGGAATATGTGCAGTATGAAAACATGAGAATAAGTAAAAAAAAAAAAAAAAAAAATAGACAAAAACGAAAAGAAAAGCGTGTTCAATGAAACAGGGAAAGTGGGGGGTGACGAAATAAAGACATAGGCAGAGATGATTGCGCCACTGACTTTTATTACTCCTTTACTCCTTTGAATTTTAACGTGGGTGAAGCTATTTTTTTCTTTTGTAGTGTGACGCAGATCAATCGTAGATAATTTGTTGGAGACAAAGTTAGCAATATAGAAAATCCTTAAAAGAGCATCTTACTTACCAAAATAATTCTTTGTATTTCTTTTTTCTTGGATACGGATATTGGTTGCTCCCTTGAAAATGATGATAATGTCTTTGTAACCTGAAATAGATTTCATAAAATAATTGTAGTCATTACGTATCATAAGGATTTTTTAGGCGGGTTTACTGAACAAACAAGAAAGGATTCCTTTTGAACTTATTCTTTGTAATTATTTCAGATTTTGTGTGAAGCTAAGAACTTTTCAGCACCCCTCCGTCTTGTATTTGCCGAGAGATAAGACGCACTTCATTTAGCAGGGAATCGCAAAGAATCATTTCCATAATATAACTACAGACTTCGATGTTCATCTTTCTTGTATGCCTTATATCAGAGCTTATTAATCTGGGGACCATGGACCCCTAAGTGGGTCATAAATGGGTTTCGGGGTGGGATCCGTAAGAATCCGATAAAAATGAACATTTATATTCGCTATACACGACTGGTCCCAAACAGTTTTCCAATGAAAGAAATGAAAGAAAATCAATTTTGTCACCGCTTGAAAGAAAACGCACCCAGCCGCAACTTACAGTGCCGACCGCTAGGCGTCACTGGACTGCTGTTGGCTCTTGTTTATCGTGTGTCTTTATTCTCGCTATGACTGCGCCATCTTTAACCACCTTCATATAAGAGCAAATGATAAGTCTTATTTTCCACTGTTTACTACAGCTTCATTATCTTCTCATGAACTGATGAGGATTAACTGACCACAAATTCTTTTAAGCGTGGCTGGCTGAAAAGTACTGCGTGTGCCGTGTACATGAAGGTACAGTATGTAGAAATACATGTACATGGTGTAAAAAAAAACAATCAGACGTTGTCTGTTTGTCTATGAGGGGCGAGTTCTTATAGGGGCCCGTGACTCAAAAAAGGTTTAAGAATGTTTTCTAAGCATAGCTTAGATGTGGCACTGAGACGAAAGTATGGAGCACCCAGTGAGGATCGAACTCGGCAAGCTCGCTAACGATTACACCACGTCGGAGTGTCCGTTTCGCTTCTTATTTTTCGATGAATATGACGTATAGCAAGACAAATAACATTGCATAAATACAGAATCAAAATTTTTTTGACTATTGTTTGTTTTACTTTTTTTGTTTAATGGGCATATCAACACATCTATGGGTTTTTTAATGCCGAAATCTAAATATTTTGTACGCAATTTTATGGCTTCAACTACAGATATTTTGTACATAATTTCAAGGTCCCTGTCCACCTTCAGCATGGTTGATGCTCATCTCCGTGAGAGCGTCTCACTGCGTCTCACTGCGTCTCGTTGGCCTCATGTTTTCAACTGACTTGAAGTGGAACAACTACCTTGAATTAGTAGCTGTATCTATTACAAGGAAAGTTGGTTCACTGTAGCATGGCAGAAGACCAACCCTAACCCTAACCCTGTCCATCTTACACGTCTACAAATCTACCATTTCTCCTTGTATTGAATACTGTTGCCATATCTGGTCTGGTGCTCCTGCTATTCATCTGGAAGTTCTCGACAAAATCCAAAGAAGGATCTGCAATGTAATCGGTCCTGAATTGGCTTCTCTACTTCAGACACATTTTCTCCCTGACGTGACGTGGCTTCCCTCTGTCTTTTCTACAAATATTTTCATGGCTCTGACGAGCTTTTGTCCCTAGTGCTCTGACTACATGAATATAAGTGTGCTACTAGATTGGCACTTAGGTCCCACCCTTTTACTGTTGAAATAGTTAAATGCAATCGTCACTTCTACTCCAACAGTTTCTTTCTCACAATTCCCAACATTGGAACTCTTTTCCTCGAACTAAAATCTTCAAAAATTTAAATGCAACGTCAATCTCCATCTTCTGTTGCCCTAATCCTTGTCCTTTTTTCTTTTCCTCGACCCCACGCTACACGCACTCTTTCTCTTTCACTCATTTTCTTTTCTTTTTCTTTCACTCTCCGTAACCCCCTATTAGTGCTAGTGGTTTTCATGTCTTGCTTGGGGTGAAATACTGGAGACAACAGCAGCTAAAGGGTGATTCCGCGCTCCTCAAAACTTCCGATCTTTCGATCAGAGGCCTTGCTGTCGGATGTAGTTTATCGTCTTACCCATTACTGACGAAAACAAATAAAGGCATCATCAAAGGACCAATGGGTACAATAAAATGAACTTGTAAACAAATGGCAAATTTTGCATGAGGCTTCGTTCATGTGGGAGGATGCAAAAGAGTAAGTCATATGTTAGCCTTGATGCTAATCAGCTGAATGTGATGTACTGGCAATCATTTTAAAATATATGAAGTCGCATTGAGTTACACCACGATAAATAAGTGTATCTCAGGTTGGTGAAATATCACAAGCAATATGGCTTCTTTTAATAACAGTAATCTTCCTTCAGGGCGTATGTGATTTGGTATTCTTGGGAATGATTACGAAGGATTTTCCTACGGTTCGGAATTCGGACATTTCTTTCTTTTACGTTATGATCAAATAACAGAGAGACTAGACTACTCTGCTATTTAACCCATAGCTAGTTGGGGAAGACAAAACGGATTTATATATTTTCTGCGGACATTTGTGCGAAATAGCCCAGAGTGTTAGCCGGTTCTACACCACACACAAATCATTTTCCACCGCCGTAACGTAGTTGCACTCTGCCTTTTCGATAAATATTTTCATGGCAGTATCTGTCTGTATTTCTGAGATGAGGTATTATGTACACTATTTACATTATTTGGGCTATTGTCCTCATCTTTGTCGCCATATTTATTACAACGTTTCGGCCCTTCAGTATCTGTCTATATTTCTGAGATGAGGTATTATGTACACTATTTACATTATTTGGGCTATTGTCCTCATCTTTGTCGCCATATTTATTACAACGTTTCGGCCCTTCAGTATCTGTCTATATTTCTGAGATGAGGTATTATGTACACTATTTACATTATTCGGACTATTGTCCTCATCTTTGTCGCCATATTTATTACAACGTTTCGGCCCTTCAGTATCTGTCTATATTTCTGAGATGAGGTATTATGTACACTATTTACATTATTTGGGCTATTGTCCTCATCTTTGTCGCCATATTTATTACAACGTTTCGGCCGTTGTACGCTCCGGCCTTCTTCAGGTGGTTGGAATATCGAATTGAACCCTTTATTTCGTTCACAGTGGATAAATGCGTTAGTTAGATCCAGTGACAGGACCTAAAGAGTGTGAGTTAAGGCAGTGGAGAACTTGGAGAGGAGAATTAACATGAGATAACTGATAACTGACAACCATTAAACATGGCACGTGGAACTAGAATAGTCTACCCCAGTGAGCGAAATAAAGGGTTCAGATGGACATTCCAACCACCTGAAGAAGGCCGGAGCGTACAACGTCCGAAACGTTGTAATAAATATGGCGACAAAGATGAGGACAATAGTCCGAATAATGTAAATAGTGTATTTTCATGGCAATTACTCCGCTGAGTTCTCATCTTTGGTACCTCAACTTTACGAACTTAAGCGCAGTACTAGATTGGCAGCTAGCTCTCATTTTATTGTTGAATTTGTTAAGTGTAACCGCAAGTTCTATTCTAATAGTTTCTTCTCTTGCTCTTCTCGCTTGTGAAATGCTCTTTCAGCTTGATGCTTTCCTGTCAACTACGATCTTCAGAAATTTAATTGTAACGTCGTCAAACGTCGTCCTCTGTGTCCTTGAAACCTATTTTTTTATTATCATTTCTCTTCATTAACATTTTTTGAGTAGCATTTTTTTCATTTTCAATAACAACTTGCGTCTTAGTGGCTTTATTGCTTTGCTTGGTGTGAAATGATTAAAATATATATAGCAAAAAGAATCAACGCTGAAAACGATTTCTACTGTATTTCCTTAAAGCCGTGCTATTTACTGTGTCCTCTGGCAACGATATCACCGGAAACCAGGCCAAACATAGCCAATCTTTAGGACAACGGCTGATAGGAATGCGTTTATTGATAGCTAATCGCACTGTCTGGCAAGAGGATTGCGTCCATCTGCGGAGGTGAAAACGTTTTGCACCTGGCAGAACAAGAGAGAAATGAAAGTAATCCAGACACAGACCTTTGATGTTCGTATTCTCGTAAATGCCTTTCATCGTCTTGCAGTCTTTGCCTTCACCTCCACACACCAGACAGGCGTCTTCCTTCAGGGTAGATCCAAGCTCTCGGTCACAGCCAGCGCTCTGAATTCAAAAGACAAGAAAGGAAATCAGCAATCCGAATAAATGTCACCAAAAGTAAACATTTGTTAAACTATATATATATATATATATATATATATATATATATATATATATATATATATATAAGTAAAAAGAAAGAACAGTAAGATATATAATTCGGTGTTCTTATTGATATTTTTATTTTTACAAAACAGTGCTCAATGTAAATTTACAGAGCATAAATATTATAAATTAACTGATTTAAAATATAGTTTCTTCGCTACACAGGAATTACCATGTTTCAAAACCGAAGCTAAAAACTTCAAATTTAATTATATGATTAAATTAAAAGCATTAGTTCTGTTTCATCTTCAAGCGAATTTTGGAATAAGTTATTTTTAAATTTACTGAGTTTTAAACGCACATATAAATTCATAATTTTTTGTTTCCAAGGATACAGAGAAATCCAATCATTCAGACAGGGGCGGTAGCGTGTTCATTTTTATTAACTATTATCGTATCAATTTTTGAGTTACATTCAAGAAAGAGGTTAAGTTTAGGTAGGGTAGTGGTGCATTTTTCAACGTTCAGCGCATGTCGTCAGTTTTTTTTATCAACGACAAAAAGTTTTTCGGCATTTTTTCCGTTAAATTCGTACTTGTAGTGATTTTCCAAGCGTAGCTTGGGTGTGGCACAAGGCCGAAAGTAAGGGGCACCCAGTGAGGATTGAACTCACTACTCAGTCGTAATTGTCCTAGCGAGACAAGCTTGCTAACCATTACACCACCTCAAGGTGCCCTTTGATTTTCCAAGCGTAGCATGGATGTGGCACAAGGCCGAAATTAGGAGGCACCCAGTGAGGTTCGAACTCACTACTCAGTCGCAATTGTTTTAGCGAGCCAAGATTGCTAACCATTACACCGCCTCGAGACGCCCTAAATTCGTACTTGTATACAAAGATTCTTTGTAAAAGGGGTGTTTGGGTTAGAATACGTTATTATTGAACTACAATTTTAAAATATTATTTTTACTGTTAATTACTAATAGACTATATTTCTTTTTAAAACAAGTAAATGTAATAGTATTACTTAAATTATTTAAAAATTATTTTTTCATATCAAATATAAGCATGTATATTACCAGCTCCCATTTTTTAAAATTTTATTTTTAAATATTATTTAAGGAAAATTTTTGGCAATGTCGGCAAAGAATAGCTATTTCATTTCTTTGATTCAGTAAATTTTTATTTTTTATAAACTTACTAATATATAGTTTCTTATGTATGCACAAAGGACATGGGTCAGGAGTCGGATATCTGTGTTGTGATAATAAAATTCACCCACCTTACACTTTCCATTTACACAAATATCATATCTATCAGGGCGGCAACGCGTTCCATCGACTACTTTCTCAGCCAATCTAGTGTGAACAGTCCCGTTGATTGAACACACCAACGCACATGGGTCAGCATCATCTGCAAAAAAATAAATCAAAACTGAAAACGAAATGCATTTCGGATGTGTTCAGTAAAACATCCATTAATTATTCCAAATTTCGGTCTTTGCATTCTCTGGCCTTCCTAGTATTAAAGTTATGACATGAAATTATTCCATTATGCTATTTATTATTTAAATTGGTATGTTCATACGACCTTTTCCCCTTTATTTATTTATCGAATTTAAGTTAAATACCATCACGTGATAGACGGTTGGTCATTCACATCTCTTTCGATTAATAATTGATTAGGAAGAAGATTTTTTCTCGCAGGAGGTTGCCATTTCTTTTCTGTCCTGCTATTCAAATCATAGCTGGAGGAGAAGAGATGGATACCTACCTTTCCCAAGGCTATTTGAGCATGTGAATCTAATGAACCTGACTGGAATTCGAACTCGGTATAACGATTTATCGTCTAACATTATGCGTTTATTAATTTGAACAAATTGTTACTAAATGTAGAGTATTTTCCCACAGGTACCAAGCGGTTAATGTCTTCTTAATATTTGTTAGCAATGAAAAACACCTTGATTTTAATTTCATATAAATTTGGGCACAGGTATCAATATTTTATTAGAATTTGTTTATGTTTATATTTCTTGCAGAAGATGGGGATTTGCAAGTTAGGAATTATTAATTAAATGGAAAGAAGTTCTTACCGCCATAATATGGCTTCCATTTATAATATTGTCCTTCGTGTGCTTTCTCGTTGAACATGGCGCATTGCAAGGCACGGAAATCTGTTCTGTCCAGACAATCCTAAAATTGAAACAAAAAACAAATATAGCAGTACGATTTCGGTTATTTAATATGATTTGATTATTCTGGCACAGGCCACAGAAGTTATGCACCAGTGATAACTGTATTCAAAACACACGCAAATTGATCAGTTACATTCTTCTTCTATGACAAGTCCATTCAAGACATAAACGATTATGCCCCCACCACCACGCCCGCCCCGCCCGCCACAACTTCCTTTTTTACTCTTTACTATTTTCTTTCGTCTTTGCCATTCAATATGGTTAAGTAGGTTGCTCGCTGTTTACTCCGTTTTTCACGCTTTCATTATGTCCTATGAGTGTTAAATTACCGAGGTCATATTTATGCATACCAGGAATTTCAGCCGAACCTTATTGTATGTTTCTTTAATATTTTTTTCTCTTCTTATGACTTCCCTATCACTGGCATGGTCTGTTTAAGCGACAGTGACGTGTGTGTGTGTGTTTTTTGTTTTTATCGATGAATGCTACAATAAATTAGTTTTCTAGCTTTCACAGATGAAAATATGTCTCTTTCGCTTAAAGAATTAGTCTTCATCTGTGAGGAAATTATCTCTGCCGTACTGGAGATTAAAGTCTACGTAGCAGTTCATCATTCTTTTCTTTTCTATTCCAATGTATCTTCGAATTTCTGTACCACATTTTTTCCATTGTCTGTCAAAATGCATATCAAATTCATTTCTGTATCTGCTTGATTTGGCCGTCCCAACTGAGTAACTCACGCCTTTTGTTATCTCTTTTGCTGATGACCATATATTGTTTTCGAATGTGGCGAGTATATTAAAAGAAAGTTGGTGTTTCACTAATATATTACTGAACAACTTCTTATTACACTCAGGGCCGGTGCAAGTGTCTCGTGCACCACTCCCCGAATCTATGATACGACCCCCGCACTACATCTCAATGTTCATAAGGTAGTTGTTATGGATAATCAGGAGTGGTTTCCCCTTGTTTTGTTACTCTCCTCTTTGAGAGAGCTATTTCTGTTTACTAGGAGTATAAAAGGACACTATACGCGAACCTTGTATTCTCAGTTGAATAACGCTTTCTTAAAGCCTACACCTTCGCACTTTTGCCATTACATTAGTACTCATATAAAATACAAATTTTATTGTAACCTAATTATGGATCATATGCAATGTAGGTGATCAATTTAACTCGAAAAATTGAAAATAAATACAATGTATCTAAATACAAATTAGAGACATGTCATAATAGATCATTCCATCTTAAATAAGAGACATGTCATAATAGATCATTTCATCTTAAATAAGAGACATGTCATAATAGATCATTTCATCTTAAATAAATCAACAATGTTTTCTGGCAGTTTTTAACATCAACATGAGATTTTTCTTGTTAAAAAGCTGAATAATTTTAACGCATTCAATTTAATGAATGAACTATAGTGAATTTCATATAGTGGTTTTCAAAACAAATTCACGGATTTGGTCAAAAAAAAAAAAAAAAAAAAAAAGAAAACCTAAAATGACGTCAAAATAATCAGTTACGTTTATTTTAATTTGTAACTTATAAAAATGTATGTAGAAAAAAGCGAATGTTGATAATATAGTGAGGGTCACAAAGCACTGCCCGGGGTCCGTATGGTATTGGTATGTTCGGTCGAAGTGTTCGGTGGTAGTAGGCACCAGCCCTGATTACACTAATCTGTTATACGTGTTGTTGTGTAATGATTAGGCTGATATCGACGGCTATTACTACTGTAGTGATCTCGAGCATAGGCTGATGTCCTACACTTGACTCTGTGTCAGATTAGATTCAGATTCATATAGAAAATTAAACTCACTTGTGTGTTACAAGATGTGTACTTGCTGCTCGGCCCTTCACAATCATGTCGACCATCCGACCTGTAAAAAAAAAATGAATATAAATGGAAATTAAAGTTTGCTACATTATTCAGTTCGAATAAATCTTAGTTTCTCAAGGATAGTCTTGAAAAAATGCCTTAATCGTTTCTCGAACGAATGTTCACGTGCATATCGAGCTGAAAGCTAAGTGGATCTGTTGATAAAGATGCAATGAGATGAGACTGAAAACGTATTCCTGATATCGCAAATTCGATACATTCACTTTTTCGCGGGAAAACAGCAGAGCGTAATGAAAAAGGCCGCAAACTTAATAAAAATAAAATATCATCGTCAAAATATTTATGTTATTATCAAGATGAAAGACCAAAGTATTTTTTAATTATTTTTTTGAAATTTTAAAATACTTTCTAAAACGTTCTAAATTTTAGTTAAAATCTTGTTTTGTTTACGTCATCGCGGTGGCATCATAATAATATTGATTTTTGCGCTTTTTTTTTCGTTGAAAACACATTGATTTGGAAATTCTTGTAAAAATTAAATAATTGTCCGATTTTAATGAAATTTTCAGTACTTATTCACAAATGAATGAAATAATTTTTGAATTTTTCTTTTTTTAGAAATTTTTTTTTTCATGAAATTTCGCAAAAAAAAACCTTTCTATTTCTTGAATTTTTTTATTCGTCAAAAGCGGGACTCTTTGGAGAATTTAAATCGCCTAATCTTTTTTTCAAACTTGTTCTATTCTAACTGAAAATCTGCTCTTAATTGAAAAATAAAAATGTAATAAAACTATGACATTATTTAATTAGAAAAGCTTTTAATTGCTTTTGTAAATAAGTTATATTAAGGACATTATTTTCTGAAGAAATAAAATTTTTCCTAGGAATAATTTAATTTTTACAAGAATACTTTTCATTTTTTATCAAATTTTAATTATGATAATTTATAACAGTTTAAAATCGTGTGAGATTCTGTATTGGGCTATTTCCTGAATATGATATAGTAATTAAGTGGAAATAAAATTTACGAATCCAAAATTGAAAAGATTAATAAACAAAGTTATGCTATTATATTTTTAAAATAATTATTTCTTTCTTTCTTTTTTTTTTTTTTTACTTAATTTGTTACCTATTTTCATCTATGAAAGTCTAAACGTGACATTATTATAAAACGGTCACGTGGTCTAAGAGTTTTTGTTTCTTTATAGTGAAATTAATTTAAGAAAATTTTATAGTATTTTATTTTTTTTTCTTTTTGCGTAAAGCATCTTCGAAAGGCAAATAAAAGTCAATAAATTATTAGATAATAACTGAAAATATGTTCATTTGTAAAAATTACTAAGTATTTAAAAACTAAAAACAAAAAGATGTGTCCATTTAAATTTCTTAAATTTTGTATCAACTCTAGCTTCCCATATTAGCTGTCACAGCTTCGTCACTTATCGGGCATCCATTATCACCTCAGATAAGCTATGATAAACAGGACCCATCATTAAATAAATGGTTGTATATTACTTTTTTAGTAAGTAAGTAATATTTATTTCAAATCTGATTAATTTAACTGTAAATTTGCTAATTTTACTCAAATAACAAGTCAGAAATATATATGGGTTTTTTGAAAGAATTTGAAAATAGATATTTCTTTTGTTTACAAATTTCTTGAAATTAAGAAAATGGCTGGTTTTCAGAAAATTCTAAGAAAGCGAAATTAAATTTGACATTACAATCTATATAATTTCTATTTGAAATACACCAGAATATTTTAATACTTGAAATAATTAAGCTAAAATGAAATAAGCAAGAATGCTTTTTCATTTTGAAAAATTCATTTCAAACTTTAGGTATCGAATATTTATGCAGAAATTATGGCGATACCTATCGGAAATTCTATATTCAATGTTTAATTTCATAATATTGCAAAAAAAAAAAAAAATGTTCTTATTTTAAACTTGCTTAATGTAATGCAGAAAGTTTTCTAATGAAAGGGAAATAATTCAACGTTGAGTAATGTATGTGTTACCTCCCTTGTAAATTTGAAACCAAATTAATTTTTTACCGATAATAGATTATAAAAACGATTTATTAAATCCATAATGATTTTAAATTAATATTTATTATTTCTGTTTTTAAATATAGTTGAAAAAAAAAACCCTGCAATTTCAAACATTTATTCAAAATGAGGGAAAACAAAACTAAACAAACGCTAATTCTCAGCCGGTATTCATATAAAAAATAAATAAATTATGTATGAAATAAATTATTATTATTATCAAAATGGATTGCTATCCGCAACTATATTTTAACAAATAAATTTAAAACAGGGAAGAGCTAAAACAGGTGACATTTAATTCTGTTGGATTTACCAGAGTAATTTTTAAATAGAGTCGTTAAACAGTGCAAAAATCTGATGATGGGAAAGAAAGATATGGAAATTGTGACAACAAAAAGGAAAAAGTGATGATGGGGAAGAAAAGACAGTGAATCACTGAATGTGAGACAAACGTGCCAAAAAAAATGAAAAAGTGATGATGGGGAAGAAAAGATAGTGAATCACTGAATGTGAGAGAAACAATGCCAACAAAAAATGAAAAAGAGTTGATGGTGAAGAAAAAGATAGTGAATCACTGAATGAGAGAGAAAAGTGCCAACAAAAAATTTTTAATGATGGGGAAGAAAAGATAGTGAATCACTGAATATGAGAGAAAAGTGCCAACAAAAAGGAAAAAGTGATGATGGGGAAGAAAAGATAGTGAATCACTGAATGTGAGAGAAACGTGCCTAGAAAAAGGAAAAAGTGATGATTGGTTAGAAAAGATATTGAATCACTGAATGTGAGAGAAACGTGCCAACAAAAAGGAAAAAATGATGATGGGGAAGAAAAGATAGTGAATCACTGAATATGAGAGAAAAGTGCCAACAAAAATGAAAAAGTGATGATGGGGAAGAAAAAGATAGTGAATCACTGAATGTGAGAAAAAGTGCCAACAAAATGAAAAAAAGTGATGATGAGGAAGAAAAAATAGTGAATCACTGAATGTGAAAGAAACGGGAAGAAAAGCCAACAAAAATGAAAAGAAAAATGAAAAAAAGATAGAAAATAGTCACTGAATATGAGAGAAAAGTGCCAACAAAAATGAAAAAAAGTGATGATGGGAAGAAAAGATAGTGAATCACTGAATGTGAGAGAAAAGCCTAGAAAAAAGGAAAAAAAAGATGATGGGGAAGAAAGATAGTGAATCACTGAATGAAAAGATGAGAAAAGTGCCAACAAAAAGGAAAAGTGATGATGGGGAAGAAAAGATGGTGAATCACTGAATGTGAGAAAAAAGTGCCAACAAAAAGGAAAAAAAGTGATGATGGGGAAGAAAAGATAGTGAATCACTGAATGTGAGAGAAATGTGCCTAGAAAAAAAGGAAAAAGTGATGATGGGGAAGAAAAGATGGTGAATCACTGAATATGAGAGAAAAGTGCCAACAAAAGGAAAAAAAAAAATGATGGGGAAGAAAAGATAGTGAATCACTGAATGAGAGAAAACGTGCCTAGAAAAAGGAAAAAGTGATGATGGGGAAGAAAAAGATAGTGAATCACTGAATGTGAGAGAAAAATAGTGAATGCCCAATAAAAAAAAAAAAGATGATGGGGAAGAAAAGATAGTGAATCACTGAATGTGAGAGAAAAGTGCCTAGAAAAATGATTAAGAAAAAAAGTGATGATGGGGAAGAAGTTCCTAAAGAAAAGGAATCAGTGAATATGGGGAAAAATTTGAATCACTGAATATGAGAAAAACAAAAAATGAAAAAAGTGATGATGGGGAAGAAAAATAGTGAATCACTGGATGGAGAGAAAGTGCCTAAAAAAAAAAATGATGGGATGAAAAATTGAATCTGGATATGAGAGAAAAGTTCCTAGAAAAAGGAAAAAGTGATGATGGGGAAGAAAAGATAGTGAATCACTGAATATGAGAGAAAAGTGCCAACAAAAAGGAAAAAATGATGATGGGGAAGAAAAGATAGTGAATCACTGAATGTGAGAGAAAAGTTTAAATAAAAAAGAAAAAGTGATGATGGGGAAGAAAAGATAGTGAATCACTGGATATCTCTTAAAAGAAAAAGGAAAAAAAGTGATGATGGGAAGAAAAAGAAATGAATCACTGAATATGAGAGAAAAGTGCCAACAAAAAATGAAAAAAAAAAAGTGATGATGGGGAGAAAAAATATATGAATCACTGAATATGAGAGCAAAAAAAATGAAAAAGGGATGATGGGGAAAAAAAAGATAGTGAATCACTGAATGTGAGAAAACGTGCCAACAAAAAAAGGAAAAAAAGATGATGGGGAAGAAAAGATGTTGAATCACTGAATGTGAGAGAAACGTGCCAACAAAAAAAAAAAGTGATGATGGGGAAGAAAAGATAGTGAATCACTGAATGGGAGAGAAAAGTGCCAACAAAAAAGGAAAAAAGTGATGATGGGGAAGAAAAGATAGTGAATCACTGAATGGATGAGAAAAGTGCGAACAAAAAGAAAAAAAAATGATGGGGAAGAAAAGATAGTGAATCACTGAATGTGAGAAAAATGCCTAGAAAAAAAAAAAAGTGATGATGGGGAAGAAAAGATAGTGAATCACTGAATATAAGAAAAAAAAAACAAAAAGAAAAAAGTGATGATGGGGAAGAAAAAGATGGTGAATCACTGAATATGAGAGAAAAGTGCCAACAAAAGGAAAAAGTGATGATGGGGAAGAAAAAGATAGTGAATCACTGAATGTGAGAGAAATGATTGCCTAAAAAAAGGAAAAAAAAGTGATGATGGGGAAGAAAGATAGTGAATCACTGAATATGAGAGAAAAAATACAACAAAAATGAAAAAGTGATGATGGGGAAGAAAAGATAGTGAATCACTGAATATGAGAGAAAAGTGCCAACAAAAAGGAAAAAGTGATGATGGGGAAGAAAAGATAGTGAATCACTGAATGTGAGAGAAAAGTGCGAACAAAAAGGAAAAAGTAATGATGGGGAAGAAAAGATAGTGAATCACTGAATATGAGAGAAAAGTGTCTAGAAAAAGGAAAAAGTGATGATGGGGAAGAAAAGATAGTGAATCACTGAATATGAGAGAAAAGTGTTCAAAAAAAAAAAAAAGTGATGATGGGGAAGAAAAGATGGTGAATCACTGAATGTAAGAGAAAAGTGCCAACAAAAAGGAAAAAAATGATGATGGGGAAGAAAAGATAGTGAATCACTGAATGATGAGAGAAAAGTGCCTACAAAAAAAAAAAAGTGATGATGGGAAGAAAAGATAGTGAATCACTGAATATGAGAGAAAAATGCCAACAAAAATGGAAAAAGTGATGATGGGGAAAGAAAAGATAGTGAATCACTGAATATGAGAGAAAAAGTGCCAAAAAATGGAAAAAGTGATGATGGGGAAGAAAAGATAAGAATCACTGAATATGAGAGAAAAGTGCCAACAAAAAAATGGAAAAAGTGATGATGGGGGAGAAAAAAGATAGTGAATCACTGAATATGAGAGAAAAGTGCCTAGAAAAAGGAAAAAATGATGATGGGGAAGAAAAGATAGTGAATCACTGAATATGAGAGAAAAGTGCCAAAAAAAAAAAAAGTGATGATGGGAAGAAAAGATAGTGAATCACTGAATATGAGAGAAATGAAAAAAAAAAAGTGATGATGGGGAAAAAAATAGTGAATCATGATGTTAGAGAAAAGTGCCTGAAAATGAAAAAATGATGGGAAGAAAAAATAGCCAATCACTGAATGAAAAAGAAAAGATGATGGGGAAAAAAAAAAAAGTGATGATGGGGAAGAATCATAGTGAATCACTGAAAAAAGAAAAGTGCCAAAAAAAAGGAAAAAAGGATGATGGTGAAGAAAAGATAGTGAATCACTGAATGTGAGAGAAAAAAAGAAAAGTGCCAACAAAAATGAAAAAAGTGATGATGGGGAAGAAAAGATAGTGAATCACTGAATGAGAGAAACGTGCCAACAAAAAAGAAAAAAAAGTGATGATGGGGAAGAAAAATGATGAATCAATCAATGAGATGTAGAAAAAGAAAAAGTGATGATGGGGAAGAAAAGATAGTGAATCACAAAAAAAAAAAAAAAAAAAAAAGATGGGGGAAGAAAAGATAGTGAATCACTGAATGTGAGAGAAAGTGCCAACAAAAATGAAAAAAGAGATGATGGGGAAGAAAAGATAGTGAATCACTGAATGTGAGAGAAAAAGTGCCAACAAAAAGGAAAAAAGTGATGATGGGGAAGAAAAGATAGTGAATCACTGAATGTGAGAGAAAACGTGCCAACAAAATGAAAAAAGGAAGTGATGATGGGAAGAAAAGATAGTGAATCACTGAATGTGAGAGAAAAGTGCCAACAAAAAGGAAAAAGTGATGATGGGGAAGAAAAGATAGTGAATCACTGAATGTGAGAGAAAAGTGCCAACAAAAAGGAAAAAGTGATGATGGGGAAGAAAAGATAGTGAATCACTGAATGTGAGAGAAAAGTGCCAACAAAAAGTAAAAAGTGATGATGGGGAAGAAAAGATGGTGAATCACTGAATGTGAGAAAAGTGCCAACAAAAAAAAGAAAAAAAAGTGATGATGGGGAAGAAAAGATGGTGAATCACTGAATGTGAGAAAAAAACAAAAAAAAAGAAAAAAAAAAAGTGATGATGGGGAGAAAAAAAAGATAGTGAATCACTGAATGTGAGAGAAGAAAAAAATGCCAACAAAAGGAAAAAAGTGATGATGGGGAAGAAAAGATAGTGAATCACTGAATGTGAGAGAAACGTGCCTAGAAAAAGGAAAAAGTGATGATGGGGAAGAAAAGATAGTGAATCACTGAATATGAGAGAAAAGTGCCTAGAAAAAGGAAAAAGTGATGATGGGGAAGAAAAGATAGTGAATCACTGAATATGAGAGAAAAGTGCCAACAAAAATGAAAAAGTGATGATGGGGAAGAAAAGATAGTGAATCACTGAATGTGAGAGAAAAGTGCCAAGAAAAAGGAAAAAGTGATGATGGGGAAGAAAAGATAGTGAATCACTGAATGTGAGAGAAAAGTGCCAACAAAAAGGAAAAAGTGATGATGGGGAAGAAAAGATAGTGAATCACTGAATGTGAGAGAAAAGTGCCAACAAAAAGGAAAAAGTGATGATGGGGAAGAAAAGATAGTGAATCACTGAATGTGAGAGAAAAGTGCCTAACAAAAAAAAAAAAGTGATGATGGGGGGAAGAAAAATATTGAATCACTGAATATGAGAGAAAAGTTCCAACAAAAAGGAAAAAAAAGTGATGATGGGGAGAAAAAGATAGTGAATCACTGAATGTGAGAAAAAAGTGCCAACAAAAAAGAAAAAGTGATGATGGGGAAGAAAAGATGTTGAATCACTGAATGTGAGAGAAAACAAAAAAACAAAAAGATGGGGAAGAAATGATAGGGAAGAAAGATGTTGAATCAAAAAAAAGTGATGATGGGAAGAAAAGTGAATCAACAAAAAGGAAAAAAAAAAAGATGATGGGGAAGAAAAGATAGTGAATCACTGAATGTGAGAGAAAAGTGCCAACAAAAAAGGAAAAAAACTGATGATGGGGAAGAAAAGATAGTGAATCACTGAATGTGAGAGAAAAATTGCCAACAAAAATGAAAAAGAAAAGATATGATCACTGAATGAGGGGAAGAAAAAATGGTGCAAGTCACTGAATGATAGAGAATCACTGAATATGAGAAAAAAAAAAAAAAAAAGTGATGATGGGGAAGAAAAGATAGTGAATCACTGAATGAGAGAAAAAGTGCCAAATAAAAAGGAAAAAAGATGGGAAAAAGATGATGAATGGGAAAAGAAAAAAAGGAAAAAAGAGATGGGGAAGAAAAAGAGAAAATCACTGAATATGAGAAAAAAAAAAAAAAAAGTGATGATGGGAAGAAAAATAGATAGTGAATCACTGAATGTGAGAGAAACGTGCCAACAAAAAATGAAAAAAATGATGGGGAAGAAAAGATAGTGAATCACTGAATGTGAGAGAAAAGTGCCAACAAAAAGGAAAAAAGTGATGATGGGGAAGAAAAGATTGTGAATCACTGAATATGAGAGAAAAGTGCCAAAAAAATGAAAAAAGTGATGATGGGGAAGAAAAGATAGTGAATCACTGAATGTGAGAGAAAATGCCTAAAAAATGAAAAAGTGATGATGGGGAAGAAAAGATAGTGAATCACTGAATATGAGAGAAAAAATGCAACAAAAAAAAAAAAAAAGTGATGATGGGGAAGAAAAACAAATAGTGAATCACTGAATGTGAGAGAAAACGTGCCAACAAAAATGGAAAAAAAGATATGATGGGGAAAAAGATGGTGAATCAAAAAATGTGAGAGAGAAAAGCCTAGAAAAGGAAAAAAGTGATGATGGGGAAAAAAAAGTATTGAATCACTGAATGTAGAAACAAAAAGTTAACAAAAAAAAGAAAAAGTGATGATGGGGAAGAAAAGATTAGTGAATCACTGAATGTGAGAGAAAAAGATGCCAACAAAATGAAAAAGTGATGATGGGGAAGAAAAGATGATTGAATCACTGAATGTGAGAGAAAAGTGCCAACAAAAAAGGAAAAAGTGATGATGGGGAAAAAAGATAGTGAATCACTGAATGTGAGAAAAAGTTAACAAAATGAAAAAAAGTGATGATGGGGAAGAAAAGATAGTGAATCACTGAATGTGAGAGAAAAGGCAAAAGGAAAAAGGATGATGGGGAAGAAAAGATAGTGAATCACAATGTTTCTAAAAAAATGATTGTCCAAAAAGGAAAAAAAATGAAAAAGTGAAAAGATAGTGAATCACTGAATGTGAGAGAAATGCCAACAAAAATGAAAAAAAGTGATGATGGGGAAGAAAAGATAGTGAATCACTGAATGTGAGAGAAAAGTGCCAAAAAAGGAAAAAGTGATGATGGGGAAGAAAGATAGTGAATCACTGAATGGCAGAGAAAAGTGCCAACAAAATGGAAAAGGATGATGGGAAGAAAAAGATAGTGAATCACTGAATGTGAGAGAAAAGTGCCAAGAAAAAGGAAAAGTGATGATGGGGAAGAAAAAGATAGTGAATCACTGAATGAGAGAAAAAAGCCAACAAAATGAAAAATGATGATGGGGAAGAAAAGATAGTGAATCACTGAATGTGAGAGAAAAGTGCCAACAAAAAGGAAAAAGTGATGATGGGGAAGAAAAGATAGTGAATCACTGAATGTGAGAGAAAAGCCAACAAAATGAAAAAGTGATGATGGGAAGAAAAGATAGTGAATCACTGAATGTAAAAAAGTGAAAAAAAGGGAAAAAAGATGATGGGGAAGAAAAGATAGTGAATCACTGAATGTGAGAGAAAAGTGCCTAGAAAAAGGAAAAAGTGATGATGGGGAAGAAAAGAATAGTGAATCACTGAATTTGAGAGAAAAGTGCCAACAAAAAGGAAAAGTGATGATGGGGAAGAAAAGATATTGAATCACTGAATGTGAGAGAAAATAAAAAAAAAAGGAAAAAAGTGATGATGGGGAAGAAAAGATAGTGAATCCACTGAATGTGAGAGAAAATTGCCAAAAAAAAAAAAAGTGAAATGATGGGGAAGAAAAGATAGTGAATCACTGAATATGAGAGAAATGTGCCAACAAAAATGAAAAAGATGATGGGGAAAGAAAAGATAGTGAATCACTGAATGTGAGAGAAAAATGAAAAAAGGAAAAAAGTGATGATGGGGAAGAAAAGATAGTGAATCACTGAATGTGAGAGAAAAGTGCCAAAAAAATGAAAAAAGATGATGGGGAAGAAAAGATAGTGAATCACTGAATGTGAGAGAAACGTGCCTACAAAAAGAAAAAAAGATGGGGAAGAAAAAATAGTGAATCACTGAATGTGAGAGAAAAAAAAAGCCAAAAAAATGAAAAAGTGATGATGGGGAAGAAAAAAGATAGTGAATCACTGAATGTGAGAAAAACGTGCCAAAAAAAGAAAAAAAGATGATGGGGGAAGAAAAGATAGTGAATCACTGAATGTGAGAGAAAAGTGCCAACAAAAAAAAAAAAGATGATGGGGAAAAAAAATAGTGAATCACTTAATGTGAGAAAAAAGTGCCAACAAAAATTTGAAAAAAGGATGATGGGAAGAAAAGATATTGAATCACTGAATATGAGAGAAAAGTGCCAACAAAAATGAAAAAGTGATGATGGGGAAGAAAAGATAAAAATCACTGAATGTGAGAGAAAAGTGCCTGAAAAAAAGGAAAAAGTGATGATGGGGAAGAAAAGATAGTGAATCACTGAATGTGAGAAAAAATGTGCCAACAAAAAGGAAAAAAAGTGGGATGATGGGGAAGAAAGATAGTGAATCACTGAATGTGAGAGAAAAAGTGCCAACAAAAATGAAAAAGTGATGATGGGGAAGAAAAGATAGAAATCACTGAATGTGAGAGAAAAGTGCCAACAAAAAGAAAAAAAAGTGATGATGGGGAAGAAAAGATAGTGAATCACTGAATGTGAGAGAAAAGTGCCAACAAAAAAAAAAAAAGTGATGAATGGGGAAGAAAAAGTAACAAAAAGAATCACTGAATGGGAGAGAAAAGAATGTGAACAAAAAATGAAAAAAAAAATGATGGGGAAGAAAAGATAGTGAATCACTGAATGTGAAAGAAAAAAAGGAAAAAGTGACATGGGGAAAAAAGATAGTGAATCAAAATGTGATGATGAAAAAGGGAAAGAAAAGATAGTGAATCACTGAATGTGAGAGAAAAGTGCCAACAAAAAGGAAAAAGTGATGATGGGAAAGAAAGATGGTGAATCACTGAATGTGAAGAAAAAAGATTGCAAAAAGAAAAAAGAAAGAAAAAATGAATCACTGAATGGAAAAAAAACAAAAAGGAAAAAGTGATGATGGGGGAAGAAAAAATAGTGAATCACTGAATGTGAGAGAAAAGTGCCAAAAAAAAAAAAAGTGATGATGGGGAAGAAAAGATTGAATCACTGAATGAGATCCAACAAAAGAAAAGTGATGTGGGGAAGAAAAGATAGTGAATCACTGAATGTGAGAGAAACGTGCCAACAAAAAGAAAAAAAGTGATGATGGGGAAGAAAAAACATAATAAGTTCACTGAATATGAGAGAAAAGTGCCAACAAAAATGAAAAAAGTGATGATGGGGAAGAAAAGATAAACAAATCACTGAATGTGAGAGAAAAACAAAAAAAAGTGATGATGGGAAAAAAGATATTGAATCACTGAATATGAGAACAAATAACAAAAATGAAAAATGATGGGGAAGAAAAGATAGTGAATCACTGAATGTGAGAAGAAAAGAAAACAAAAAAAAAAAGTGAATGGGGAAGAAAAGAGAAAAATAAGAAAATAGAAATAAAAAGAAAAAAGTGATGATGGGGAAGAAAAGATAGTGAATCACTGAATGTGAGAGAAAAGTGCCAACAAAAAATGAAAAAAGTGATGATGGGGAAGAAAAGATAGTGAATCAATGTGAGAGAAAAATGCCAACAAAAAAAAAAGTGATGATGGGGAAGAAAAGATAGTGAATCCCTGAATGTGAGAGAAAAGTGCCAACAAAAAAGGAAAAAGTGATGATGGGGAAGAAAAGATAGTGAATCACTGAATGTCAGAAAAACTGATTGTCCAAAAAAAAACAAAAAAGTGATGATGGGGGAAGAAAAGATTGTGAATCACTGAATATGAGAAACGTGCATTGACAAAAAAAAAAAGTGATGATGGGGGAAAAGATAGTGAATCACTGAATGAGAGAGAAAATAAAAAAAATGAAAAAGTGATGATGGGGAAGAAAAATAGTGAATCACTGAATGTGAGAGAAAAAAAGAAAAATGAAAAAAATGATGGGGAAAGAAAAAGATGAATCACTGAATGTGAGAGAAACGTGCCAACAAAAAAATGAAAAGTGATGATGGGGGAAGAAAAGATAGTGAATCACTGAATGTCAGAGAAAAAGTGCCAACAAAAAATGAAAAAGTGATGATGGGGAAGAAAAAAATAGTGAATCACTGAATGAGAGAAAATTGCCAACAAAAATGAAAAAAATGATGATGGGAAGAAAAAGATAGTGAATCACTGAATGTGAGAGAAAAGTTTCAAAAAAAAATGAAAAAAGTGATGAATGAAGAAAAATAAAATGAAAAAATGAGTGGGAAGAAAAAGATAGTGAAATAAATGTGAGAGATGTTCAGAAAAAAAAATGAAAAGTGATGATGAATAAAAGATATTGAATCACAAATGAGAGAAATGAAAAAGGAAAAATTAAAAGGGATGATGGGGGAAAATAGTGAATCACTGAATGTGAGAGAAAAGTGCCAAGAAAAATGAAAAAGGATGATGGGGAAGAAAAAATAGTGAATCACTGAATGAGAGAAAAGTGCCAAAAAAAGTGATGATGGGGAAGAAAAAGGAATCAAATGTGAGAAATGAACAAAAAGGAAAAAGGGATGATGGGGAAAAAAGATATTGAATCCACTGAATGTGAGAGAAAAGTGCCTAGAAAAAAGGAAAAAAGTGATGATGGGGAAGAAAAGATAGTGAATCACTGAATGTGAGAGAAAATGCCAAAAAAATGAAAAAAAAGTAATGATGGGGTTTCTAAGAAAAGATAGTGAATCCCTGAATGTCAGAGAAATATTATTAACAAAAAGGAAAAAGTGATGATGGGGAAGAAAAGAGTGAATCACTGAATGGGAGAAAAGTGCCTAACAAAAAGGAAAAAAGTGATGATGGGGAAGAAAGATAATGAATCCACTGAATGAGAGAGAAAATAATAAATAAAAAGGAAAAAGATGATGGGGGAAGAAAAATAGTGAATCACTGAATGAGAGAAAACAAATAAAAAAGAAAAAAGTGATGATGGGGGAAAAAAATCACTGAAAAAAATGAAAAAGTATGATGGGGAATCACTGAATGGCAATGTCAGAAAAAATGTGCCAAAAAAAAGGAAAAAGTGATGATGGGGAAGAAAAATAGTGAATCACTGAATGTCCAGAGAAAAACGATATAACAAAAAGGAAAAAGTGATGATGGGGAAGAAAAGATGGTGAATCACTGAATATGAGAGAAAAGTGCCTAGAAAAAAAAAAAAGTGATGATGGGAAGAAAAGATAGTGAATCTGAATATGAGAGAAAAGTGAACAAAATGAAAAAAGTGATGATGGGGAAAAAAAAATGATGATTGAATCCATTGAATGTGCAGAAAACGTGCAAAATGAAAAATAGAAAAAGTGATGTGGAAAAAAGAATGGATGTGAAGAAAAAGAAAAGTGATGGGGAACTGAATGTGAAAGAAAAGCGATGCCAACAAAAGGAAAAGTGATGATGGGGAAGAAAAGATAGTGAATCACTGAATGTCCAGAGAAAAGTGCCAACAAAAAGGAAAAGTGATGATGGGGAAGAAAAGATAGTGAATTTCTGAATGTGAGAGAAAAAGTGCCAACAAAAAAGGAAAAAGTGATGATGGGAAAAAAGATAGTGAATTACTGAAATGAGAGAAAAGTGCCTAAGAAAAAGTGATGATGGGAAAAGAGAGAATCACTGAATCCATTGGATGAAAAAAAAATAAAGTTAGAAAAAATGCCATCAAAAAAAAAGAAAAAAAATGATGGGGAGGAAAAGATAGTGAATCACTGAATGTGAGAAAAGAAAAACAAAAGCCAAAAAAAATGAAAAAAAGACAGTGATGAATGGAGAAATAAGTTAATAAAAAGAAAAGTGATGATTCTAGAAAAGTGAATGAATGTGAGAAAAAGGCAAAAAAAATGAAAAAGTGATGATGGGAAGAAAAGATAGTGAATCACTGAATGTGAGAGAAAAGTGCCAACAAAATGAAAAAAAGTGATGATGGGGAAGAAAAAGATAGTGAATCACTGAATGTGAGAGAAAAGTGCCAACAAAAAAAAAAAAGTGATGATGGGGAAGAAAAAGATAGTGAATCACTGAATGAGAGAAAAGTGCCAAGAAAAGGAAAAAAAGTGATGATGGGAAGAAAAGATAGTGAATCACACTGAATGTGAGAGAAATGCCAACAAAAGGAAAAAGATTGATGTGGAAGAAAGATAGTGAATCACTGAATGTGAGAGAAAAAGCCAACAAAAAGGAAAAAATAATGATGGGGGAAGAAAAGATAGTGAATCACTGAATGTGAGAGAAAAGTGCCAACAAAAAAAAAAAAGTGATGATGGGGAAAAAAAGATAGTGAATCACTGAATGTGAGAGAAAAATTATAATAACAAAAAAGAAAAAAGTGATGATGGGGAAGAAAAAGATAGTGAATCACTGAATGTGAGAGAAAAGTGCCAACAAAAAATGAAAAAGTGATGATGGGGAAAAAAATAATGAATCACTGAAATGTGAGAGAAAAAGTGCCAAAAAAAAGAAAAAAAGTGAATGGGAAGAAAAGATAATAGAATCACTGAATGTGAGAGAAAATTGCCAACAAAAAGGAAAAAAGTGATGATGGGGAAGAAAAGATGGTGAATCCCTGAATGTGAGAGAAAAGGACCAACAAAAAATGAAAAGTGATGATGGGGGAAAAAGATGAGTGAATCACTGAATGTGAGAGAAAAGTGCCTAGAAAAGGAAAAGTGATGATGGGGAAGAAAAAATGATGATTGTCCACTGAATGTGAGAGAAACGTGCCAACAAAAATGAAAAAAAAGATGGGGGAAGAAAAAGTGATAATGATGATCAAGAAAAGACTGAATGTGAAAGAAAAAAAGTTAAAAAATGAAAAGTGATGATGGGGAAGAAAATAAAGTGAATTGTCTGAATGTGAGAGAAACGTGCCTAATAAAAAATGAAAAGTGATGATGGGGAAAAAATAGTGAATCACTGAATGTGAGAGAAACGTGCAAAAAAAAAAAAAAAGTGATGATGGGGAAAGAAAAGATAGTGAATCACTGAATGTGAGAGAAAAGTGCCAACAAAAAATGAAAAAAAGTGATGGGGAAGAAAAGATAGTGAATCACTGAATGTCAGAAAAAAGGAAAAAAAAAAGTGATGATGGGGAAGAAAAGATATGTCCTGAATGGCTGCCAACAAAAAGGAAAAAGTGATGATGGGAAGAAAAGAAAATGTGAAAAACGTGCCAACAAAAAAAAAAGTGATGATGGGGAAGAAAAAATAGTGAATCACTGAATGTCAGAGAAAAGTGCCAACAAAAATGAAAAAAGTGATGATGGGGAAGAAAAGATAGTGAATCACTGAATGTGAGAGAAAACGCCAACAAAAAAGGAAAAAAGTGATGATGGGGAAGAAAAGATAGTGAATCACTGAATGTGAAAAGTAATGATGAAGAAAAGATAGTTAATCACTGAACAAAAAAGTTTCAAAAAAGGAAAAAGGATGATGGGGAAGAAAAGATAGTGAATCACTGAATGTCAGAAAAAAGATAACAAAAATTCTAAAAAAAAAAGTGATGATGGGGAAGAAAATAGTGAATCACTGAATGTGAGAGAAACGTGCCAACAAAAATGAAAAAGGATGAAAAGAAAATAGATGAATGGGGAAGAAAAGATAAAGTGAAAATGAAAAAGTGAATGTCCATTGAATGGAAAAAAAGACAGTGAACAAAAATGAAAAAAAATGATTTCAAAAAAGAAAAATAGTGAATCAATAAAATTGTGAGAGAAACGAGAGAAAGAAAAAACAAAAGGAAAA